TCTGTTTCCTGGGTTGCTTCCACTCCCCAGCCTGTGACACACCTTCCCGCCAACCGTTAGTGCTTTTTTGGCCTTCATGCCTTAGAACGCTGTTTTCTTCCAAATCCGCAGCCCCCCAGCACCCAAGGTCTTCAGCAGTCTTGCCCCTGCTTTGTTGCTAGTATAGCTCTCTCCCCTCTTCCTCCTTGAGAGGGGATGGTCCTTGGAGTTGTCGGGGAGCAACGCTTCTCACTGTCCCCAAGAGTAGTCCCAGCCTGGCCACCTCCATTGCTTGCACAGGACACTTGCAAGGGGCACAGATGGCAGGTCGGGGATGCCCTGACTGGCCCTAAGTCTCTTTTTCAGTAGAGATTACTCCAGAGAAGTAAGTTCCTTAAAAAAGAAAGTGAGGAGAGACATAGCTGCTCCCAGTCCTTTACGTTCCCCTGACTCTACCCCTCCCAGCCCAAGGGTAAGGTTTTCAGTCGTGTCAGCAGTTGGCAGAGTGCGTGGGCTGGCCTGGTGTGGAGGTGCATCAGGAGCCTGAGATGTGCCCGTGAGCACTTGTATCTCTCTGTGCTCAGGACGGCCCTGCCTCAGCCCCCAAACTGGCACCAGGGCTGAGGTGTGTGGGCAGTATGCCTGTGGGTCGGGGAGAGGTCAGAGAGAGCTCCTCACTCTGAGATGGGTGCTGCTTCCTGGACTAGCTTATTCTCCCCCAGCCACCCCTGAGCCTCTAGCACCGGGTCACAGATTCAGGGCCATGCACAGCGATGTTCAGGCAGACAGCAAAGTGCCCTGCAGAGGGGCAGGGAGCATCCCCAGGTAAGGGAGGCCTCTAGCAGGTCCAGTCGTTGGAGGAGGAAAGCCAGACCCTTCTGCAACTGCAGTTGCGGCAGGAAGCCATTCCAGTGCACCTGCTTCCTCTGGGCTGGCCTGCAATGAGGCGGGTGCTTGGCTGCTTTCTGTTCTGTCCTGGGGCTGGGGATGGCTCTGGCTGGGGGCAGGACTGCAACGGCCAGGTTGTCCCTGCCAAGCTCGTCTCCCCCTCCTCCTCTGTCTGGCAGTGTGGCCTTCGGTTCATTCCCTAGAGAGCTTCCCTTCTTCTCAAGCAGTTCCATGTAAAGCATATTCAGGTCGGTGGGTGGAGGGGCGGGTCCTCATTGGAAACCCCTGCTTTCCTCCCAAGCTGCTGTTCTGGCAGCTGATGTCGAAGGACAACAGTGCAGGTGAACCAGGGGAGGTGGCGGGCAGGGTATGCCTTCATCCCTTCAAGTGAGCTGTGGAGGTCTCTCGCTGGAGACCTGAGTGTGAGTCCCAGATCTGCCACTTGCTGCTGGGAGGCTTTGGGCAAGTCACCTGATCTTCTGAGCCTCTTTTTGCTCATTTGTAAAGTAACAGTAACACAGTCACACTAGTATCTATTTCAGAGGGATGTTGTGAAGATCAAGTGAGATGATTCATGTGAAGGATTCAGCACAGTGCCTGACACATAGCAAATGCTCAATAATGATGAACTGTTTTTTTACTGTTATACTATTATTTCTTCCCTTCTTTATTCCTCCCATCCCCCCACCCCCAGTCCTTAGATAAGTTGGTGCTAGGTTGGTACTGGCAGGAAGAAGTCTCCTGAGAGCTGCCCTCTGTGCCTCCGAATGGGAAAGGAGAGGGAGAGATGAGAATGCCCTGCCTCTTGGTCCTCAGAAGGAGAAGCCCTGGGTGTGTGAGTGCTGGCAGAGGCAGTGAGGCAGGGAACTGGCCTCAGCCACCGGCCACGTCTTGGCTTCCTCTGGGCACTCTCTTGAGGGTTACCTTCTGCTCTCGGGGGCTTGCAGTGTGCAGATGTCTGGCATGGATGCTTGAGCCTCGATGTGGTTGCTGGGCATTCTGGGCCTGAGGGGCTGGCTGAGGTGTAGCATCATTCTCCTAGGAGCATTTGTGCCCCCATCCCCTCCTGTGAGGAGCACACAGGATGCAGGTTAAGATCGGGGGGCTCGGCTGGGCGTAGTGGCTCACGCCTGTAATCCAAGCACTTTGGAGGCCAAGGCAGGTGGATCAACTGAGGTTGGGAGTTCAAGACCAGCCTGACCAACATGGTGAAACCCCATCTTTAAAAAAAAAAAAAAAGAAGATCAGGGGCTCTGCTGGCATGGTGGAGGGTGAACCCCAGCTGGCGCTGCTCCCCAAGTATCAGAAGCCTTCCCGGGCTGAGGTTTGACAGTCCCTCAGCATACTTCTTGGATTTCTCCTCTTTGAGAACAAATGCTTCTAGCTATTATCTTCTTTGCTTTTTCTTTTTTTATTGACTATTTAGCCATCTTCCCAATAAAAATAAGCAGTAAGTAACAAATATATAACACAAGAAATAGCAAGTGTTCCTATTGTGTCTAATTTACACAGTTTACAAGATTATTATGATCACTCTTTGTATACTATTTGAGTTCTAGTTTTTTTGATCGATGTTATTTTATGTAGAGATTTCCATATGGTTACATTGTCCACACATTTGTCAATTTAAATGGCAATAGAAGAACGGGTTGCACCTAACCATTTCCTAATTCTAGGCATTTGGGCTGTTTCCAACCTGGAGCTGTTATACAGAGTGCATCTATAAAAATCTTTGTATTTTTTTTCTTTCTCTTTCTTTCTTTAAGTCAGCTCATTGGACATACATTCCTGAAGGTGGAGTGGCTAGACCAGAGGATGATGCATTTTGTGGCGGTTGTTCCACAAAGAGCTACTAAGCAATTTCAGTGTCCTTGCCCTCTCCCTAACCCAGGCACTGAGTTTACTATGTATTTATTGGGAGTATGTTTAGAGATTATACCTCCTTTGTTTGTACCATTTCCCTGGGAATCAGAATGGGCAAGTGTGTTCTCTGTAGTTTACATTTGGGGAAGAGATTAGATGGGAATAAGAGGTTTGTGCAAAGAGCCCCTGTCCCATTACTCTCGTGCAGCTAACATTTATTAAGTGCCTACAGTATGATGGGTAAGTCCTGCTCAGGAGTGAATCATAGTCCAGGATGACAAAGACACACAAACAGCTCCCCAAAATCCATTCTGGTTGTGGATCCCAGCTCTACCACTTACTAGTTGCGGGGCGCTAGGCAACTCACTTTCTCTATTTCCTTATCTAGAAAGTGGGTTGTGAGGATTCAATGAAGAGACCTGTGTGAAGTGCCTTCCCCTGTGCCTGACTCATAGTAAGTGTTCAGTGAGTGTTGGTTTCTCTTGCCGTCCCTCAAGGGAAGAAGTCAGAAGTGCCACAGAGGGAGTAGGTGGGCAGGGCTTCACAGAGTGGCAGAATCATGGTGGGGTCTCCCTTTTTGCAAATCCATAAACTCAATTTGGAAAGTTGTACACTAGTAAAACACAGAGAATGGTGAAAGTTGCACACTAGTAAAACACAGAGAACAGGTGAATCCGTGCTTTGGCCTGACCAGATCTGCTGAACCTTCATGCTGATGAAGCTTATCAACCAGATTTGGCTACTAAGGATGATGCCTGCCTAACATACCAGAAAAGGTTGGCGCTAAGGAAGCAGCACAGGCTTTGGAGGCAGACCAATGTGGGTCGAAGTCCGAGTTTCCCCACTTAACTAGCTTTGTGACTTAACCTCCTTCTGAGTCTTTTCTCTCATCAATAAAATGGGAATCATAATTCCTATATCACCAATCCTCAGATTGTTGTAAGATTTACATTAGAAAATAAATGTTGAATAATTTGTATAAGGCCCATCTCATTGTAGGTATTCCATATTCAATAATGTTGCTGGAAGTAGCTGAAATCTCTAGAGAGAGATCAGGTCATTGGCCTGGCACAGTGGCTCACGCCTGTAATCTCTGCACTTTGGGAGGCTGGGGCGGGTGGATAATCTGAGGTCAGGAGTTCGAGACCAGCCTAGCCAACATGGTGAAACCTCATTTCTATTAAAAATACAAAAATTAGCCAGGTGTGGTGATGGGCGCCTGTAATCTCAGCTACTTGGGAGGCTGAGGTAGGAGAATTGCTGGAACCCAGGAGGCAGAGGTTACAGTGAGCTGAGATTGTGCCACTGCACTTCAGCCCAGGTGACAACAATGAGACTTTGTCTCAAAAAAAAAAAAAAAAAAAGAGAGAGAGAACAGGTCAGGGAAGAGAGGCCTTAGATCTAAACACCCTTGCTCCAGAGAGCCATTTGTTCCCAACTCAGATGTTGCCACCAACTTTGGGGCCTGAGTTTCTTACCTATTCTGTATTGGATAAGAGTGACTTGATGTATTTTTTAAAAATTTTTTGTGGGTACATAGGAGGTGTATATAATTAATGGGATATATATGTGTATATACATATGTGTGTGTGTATACATACATATATATATATATATATATATATATAAATATATATATATATATTTTTTTGAGATGGGGTCTCACTCTGCCACCCAGGCTGGAATGGAGTATTGCCATCTCGGCTCACTACAACCTCTGCCTCCCAGGCTCAAGTGATCCTCCCACCTCATCCTTCCCAGCAGCTGGGACACCATCCCTGGTTAATTTTTTGTGTTTTTGGTAGAGACAGGGTTTCGCCGTGTTGCCCAGGCTGGTCTCAGACTCTTGAGCTCAAGCAATCCACCCACCTCAGCCTCCCAAAGTGCTGGGATTACAGGCATGAGCCACCATGCCCAGCCCATGAGATGTTTTGATATGGGCATGCATTGAGAAACAAGCACTTTGGCTGGGTGCGGTGGCTCATGCCTGTAATCCCAGCACTTTGGGAGGCTGAGGCAGGCGGATTACAAGGTCACGAGATTGAAACCATCTTGACCAACATGGTGAAACCCTGTTTCTACTAAAATACAAAAAATGAGCTGGGCGTGGTGGCTCTTGCCTGTAGTCCCAGCTACTTGGGAGGCTGGGGCAGGGGAATTGCTTGAACCCAGGAGGTGGAGATTGCAGTGAGCCAAGATCGCGCCACTGCACTCCAGCCTGGCGACAGAGACTCTGTCTCACACACAAAAAAAGAGAAACAAGCACATCATAGAGAATGGGTTCTCCACCCCCGAAGCATTTATCCTTTGAGTTATAAACAATCCAGTTACAAGATAACTTGCTCTTGTTCCCAAGCAAATCTTAGCTGAAATTCAGTGATAAGGAAGGGAGGAAAACTATCCAGGCAATTCTGCATAAAAGCCACAGAGAGAATTTCCTCTGGAGAGAGCCCCACATCTGTGTTAGAGTAATGTCACAGGAACAGATGCTGCAGAAGAACAGGCATGGTGGAAATGGCCCGGTGTCCTCACAGCCTGGGCCGGATAGGACCTCCCTGGACAAGTAGGAAAACTTGAACAAGAGATCAAAGATCAAATGAGTTAATTACACTAACAAACTTAAAGTCTCTAGCACATTAACTGAATAATAAAACAGAAGTCAACAAAGCAAAATAAAAACAATTAATTGAAAACAAAACATTTTCTAATTTTTAACTATTAATTTGTGATAAGTAGTTATAAGAATGAACCAGTTCTTAAACTCCACTGAATTGCACTGATTCTTTGGATGAGGCCTGTCCCTGGACTGAGGCAGATTCTGACTTGATTTTTCAAGAGGCCCAGCTCTGGTTTCTAATCCACAGATGGACAGTTTTACAGTTCTCCAGGCCTCTTGCCCCAGGTAATTGTGTGTTACAGCTGGAAGGCAAAGTTGCTGGATCCTGAGGCAGCTTCCTCAATTCCTCTCCTAGGTCACAGGTCCACAACTTCTACTGTATTAAGGGTTTGAGTGCCGGCCAGGCGTGGTGGTTCACACTTGTAATCCCAGCACTTTGGGAGGCTGAGGCGGGTGGATCACCCGAGGACAGGAGTTCAAGACCAGCCTGACTAACATGGTGAAACCCATCTCTACTAAAAGGGCATGGTGGCACATGCCTGTAATCCCAGCTACTTGGGAGGCTAAGGCAGGAGAATTGCTTGAGCCCAGAAGGTGGAGGTTGCAGTGAGCTGACATCACGCCATTGTACTCCAGTCTGGGTGACAGAGTGAGACTCTGTCTCAAAAAAAAAAAAAAAAAAATTAATAAATAAGAGTTTGCGTGCCTCTCCCCATGTAGGCTCCTAAGGTGCCAGACATAGAGAGGCTCTGAGCCATTATCTAGACTAGTCAGGCCCTAATTCTTCATGGAGACCCAGAGAGGCAAAGTGGCTTATTCGAAGCACATAGCTTCACTTTAGGACACCGAGGTGGGCGGATCACTGAGGTCAAGAGTTCAAGATTAGTTTGGCCAACATGGTGAAATCCCATCTTTACTAAAAATACAGAAATTAGCAGGGCGTGGTGGTGCATGCCTGTAATCCCAGCTACTCGGGAGACTGAGGCGGGAGAATCACTTGAACCCAGGAGGCAGAGGCTGCAGTGAGCCAGGATGGCACTGTTGCACTTCAGCCTGGGCGACAGAGCAAGACTGTGTCTCAAAAAATGAAAACAAAGCACACAGCTTCCAAGGGTAGGGAGTTCTATGTTCTGTATCTACCTGCCTTCATTTTTTCCTTTAATATTTTATTCCTTACTCCAATACCCTTTTGAGTTTTGTAATCCTTCCTCCTCCACTCCATCCCTCCTTTCTCCTTGTTGCCCACAGCATTTGTCCTGGCAGGTTCTGACCTTTAGGAAGACTCTGAGACCCTGAGAGACCCTGCCCCTCATTTCTTCTCTGACCCAGGGTACAGGTTACCTTCAGCGCCATGGCCTTTTCATCAAGGTTCGCCTTCTGGGAACAAAAGGAAAGTTGGATTTTAAAATCTTTATGTTTTTCCTGTGTGCTTGGCATGTTGTGTCTGCAGGCAGGAGACTGGCTTGTGGGAGAGGGAGCTTTGGAAGCTAGAGATGGATTGGGGCATGTGTGTATAATTGGTGGTGGTGGGGAGAATGAGGGGCGGCTGGTGAACTCCCTATTCTGGCTGGATGGGATCCTGCGCTGAGTCATGCTCCTCCCCTAAGCCCCACCTCTGGTAAGGTGAGCTGCCTATTGTCCCGCTGCTGGTGTCCCTCTGGGTTAACCCCTCCATACCCTTCCCACCGCCCTGCTGCTTTGACTCACCCCTGGAACATGGGCTTGCTGTGGAGAGACCACTGGAACTGGGTGTTCCTGAGCCTGGGGGCTGCAGTGGGTAAGAGGCCAAGGGGCCGAGGGTGGGGAGTCAGGCCAGTTGGCCACCTGCGTCCAGAGGGTGATTTAGGCTGCACACTTGGGAGTGCCTGTGTGTGTGCCTTTGTGCGTGTGTGCAGTCCCCAGCTGGGCAGTGACCTACAACAGCCGGAGCCTTTCTGGCGGGGGAGGTAGCAGTGAGTCAGCCTGACACTAAATCCAGAGCTGAGCTCAGAGCTGGGCCCAGTGTTCCAGACGCTTGGGAGACACCCAGTATTTTCCCCAATGCCACACCTTGGGGAAAACACTTGGGGTCCCAAACTTGAGCCACTGGAGGGAGGACAGATTTGGAGCTGGTGAAGAGCACAGAGTGGACTTGGAATCTGGGCCACCCTGGAACCCGAGTTAACAGCACTATGCGCAGTAATGAGTGTGTCTGTGTGGTTTGCGAACACTTGTCCCCCCACTAACCTGTGTGACCCAAAGCTACTGCATGGTGTGATCTCTGGGGGAGGGAGCGGGGAGAGTGATGACTTGGTGGGCGGCAGCAGGCACAGACCTAGACCCTGCCATTCTTCCTCACTCTGTCCACCAACCCTTCCCTTTCTCTGCTCCGATTCCAATTCTTAAAAGAAGTAGGCTTCACTCTGGTGAATATTTGCCATTTCCATCCATCCTCGGCATTGTAAGCTAACTGTGAAGCTTGAGCCTGTTGCAAATAGCTCTGTGGACAAGAGGCAGCTTTAAAACTGCAGCGGCCATCACGCCGGCCAGTTCCCCTAGTACTGCTAATTTGAGTTCAAAATTAGCCATAGATCATGATTGAAATTGGAGAGTCCCCCCAAGTGGATCATATAAATGATTCTGGATGTTTCTAAGGATCTTTTCCCTTGGGAATCAAGGACTTCTTGCCATGCTCCTCCCCACAATGTGCTGGGAAGGGGAGGCACGCTGAGGAGGGGTTAGGGTTGGTAGCAGGGCTGTCTTTTTCCTGAAGTCCTAGGTGACTCAGGAAAGAAGAGAAATTAAATCCACCAAGATTTTTTGGAGGGAGAGTTACTGGTGAGGTGGAAAGGAAAGGGCTCTTTTAAACTTGAGACCCGGCCCCTCTAAGTCTATTGTGAGCCAGTTTCTGAACTGAAAGAATCTTCAGAGCTTCCACATCATCTGCCCTTTTTCCAGATGTGTGACAGTATCTGCTGTTTCCGTGCCTCCACTCCTCCCCTCTGACTCAGACCAGCCAGCTCCTGGGCTGTAGCACAAACCCCTGGCCACAGTGTCCAGAGCTTAGCATCTTTCCTTCCTCCTTACCCCCCACCCCTAACTTCAGAGTTCCCTCCCTCGGCTGCATGGTTGGCAGTTTTGTGGGTCTGAGGTTGGGAAAACATCTGGCCTCCTGAATCTCCGCCTCTGCCCCACTCCCAGCCTCCAGCAAGAGCTCAGCTGAGTGACGGAACTGTGGAGGACCAAGAAGCAAGCCAGAGGCAGCCCGATAGGGGCCAACCTTCACCCTACCCTAAATGCTGCTGGCCCGCCAGGCACCCACGCTGGGTTACTTTCACCTCCTCAGTCACTAAACCAGGGGCTTTTTGTTTAAACCACTTCTTGTCTGAGCTGGGGATGACTCTTGTAGTTTGGATGAGTTAAATTAGCTGGCTCTTACTATCAGCCACGAAACCAAAACCACGATGTTGCTGTGGGTGGACCTCTTTAGACAGCCCCCCAAGTGGGCAAGGTGGCTGGTCTGGTCGCTGAGGGCAAGAGTATACTTGGCTTTCACCCCCACAGAAACTCTTCATTCTTGAAGTCATCACTGAACAGTTCTGATTCTAGCATAGGATAGCTCTTGCCCAGGTCCCCTTGCCCCGGTATTCCTAAAGACTCAGGAGCTCTGCCTCTTAGGGAGAGGGAGGCCCCTTGAATGTTCTCTCCCTGTGCGTTTAGTGCTGGGTCCTCAGCCTTGACCTGCCAGTGACTTCTTCACCTGCTCCCTCAGGTTAAAGAGGAGGACAAAACTCTGCCAAAGCCTGGCCCTCCTGGCAAAGAGGAAGGGGCTGTAAGTGCATCCCTGAGTTCTCTGAGACGTGTGTGTGTGTGTGTGTGTGTGTGTGTGTGTGTGTGTGTGTGTGTGTTTGCCCCTGCACCTGCTAGCCCTGGACTATCCTGTGAGACAGTTCCATGGAGGAGGTGGAGATTGCAGGAGGCCCCTTCCTGTGTGGCTCAGCTGGAGAGAATTCTAGTAAAGAGGCAGAAAGTATGGTGTGTGTGATGCCACCCTGAGGTGTGTGAAGGAGATGGCCAGGGTGCTCTGGGGACCTCCTTTAACCTCCTCCCCAACCCCTTTTAGTTGCCTTCCTTTGGTTATGGGTTCCTGAACCCTTTGGGCCTGGAGAGGCTTTGGTGGGGAAACAGATCAGGGAGCATTGAATGAGCTCAGCTGTTGGGATTCTTCAGCCTGCTCTGTGTGGCACAAGACAAGGGCATGGAGGGACTTCGCTCCAGTCACTGCTGTCTCTTCCAAGACCCTGTCAGCTGCTTGGTGCAGGGGACCTAGAGGCAGGCTCCAGCTGCCCACTGCCTTCAGCCCCAGTGCATTGGGATAGAGACCCTGAATAAAGCCGGACTCTTCTAAGGCAAGAGAGGAGAATCCGTTTCTGAATAGCCAAGTCCAGAGACGTGTAGTTAGGAGAGGGCAGCTGGTAGCACAGGGGGCAGGAGTACCCAGGCTCGGGGGCAGGAGTACCCTGGCTCTGGGACAGAGCTGGGTCACAACACAGATCCTTACTTCATTACCCCAGATGGTGCCTTTCCTGGCTCCCTGCACTTCCTTGGTCAATTCGATTAGCCAGGCACTGTGGCTTCCACGTAATCTGCAAACAGTCCTGCAAAGCCAGCCTGTGATTTGAAAGGAATGTATGTGTGATAGGGAGAGGCCTCAGAGTTGCCCAGAATTTTTTTTTTCAAAACCAACATGTAAACTGCTTGAAAGATGGCCATGGCCCATGGTAAGTACTGTATGTGTTAGCAATCAGTATCATCATCATCATCATTTTTTTTTTTTTTTTTTTTTTGAGGCAGAGTCTTACTGTGTCACCCAGGCTGAAGTGCAGTGGTGCCATCTCAGCTCACTGCAACCTCCGCCTCCCAGGCTTAAGCCATCCTCCCACTTCAGCCTCCTGAGTAGCTGGGACTATGGGTGCACACCATCAAGCCAGGCTAATTTTTGTATTTTTTGTAGAAATAGTATCACATGTTGCCCAGGCTGGTGTTGAACTCCTGAGCTCAAGCGATCTCCCTGCCTTGGCCTCCCAAAGTGCTAGGATTACAAGCGTGAGCCACCACACCTGGCCCATCATCATCATCTTAATGATGGAAGGGGGATGGGAGGAAAGCCAGAAGAGGAAGGGGAGGAGAGTAGGATCCAGCAGTAGGGCCACTGGCCAACTCTGCAGTGCCCTGGCATGCCATTGAGCGCTCTTGGCCTAAGAGGTCGAGGAAGACCTTCAAGCCCTTACTCTCTCTACCCCTTCAGCAGAGCCACCCTGTAGCCAGGGCCTAGACTGAGGCCCTTGGCTCAGCTCTGCTCAGAAGGCGGAGCAACCTCTCCATGTGGCATACAGGGGCAGCAGCTCCCAGGTGTGCCTAAGAGCATCTTCCTGTATCCAAGCAAGCATGGGTGGGTGGGCCTTTGTGGAGCCCAGTGCCCACATGAGTTCTAGAACCAAGATCATGGTTTTGGGCAACAAGGACTCAAGCACAGCTCAGCTGGTGACAGAGCTCTGCCTGGCCAACAAGGAGACCCCATGTTACCCTTGCTCCCCCCAGGCAATGTGGCTGGCTATATGGAAAACTCTACCCTGCTGTTAGCCAGCCTGGCCTTCCAGTGGCAGTCCCTCGAGACCCAGACAGTTACCACCAGTGTGTGGGAGAAGGGTGGGTGTACCAGCTGGAGTATACCAGCCCACTCCAGGGCAGAATGGAGCTGAGGCTGCTTGAGTGCTTAACCCTTTGTGGGCTATACACACACTCTGGGAGCTAGGGGGTCTCCAAACCCTTGAGAGGTTTGCAGGAGGAAAACTGCAAGGAGACTGGCAGAAAGCAGGCTGAAGCGGAAGCTTCCTGGGCCAGTGCTGGGCTCTGCAGCCCTTGAGAGTGTAAGTGAAGGGTAGACAGTGGCCACAGAACAGGGACACTGCCAGGAGGAGGCTTGGCATGTCTTGGGGCCAGGAAGAGCTCCCCTGATCGTTTTTTCCTTCAGGATGGGCAGGTTCTTGGTCTGATTGCCCAGAAAACGGGGGATGGAAGGGCCAAGGATCACAAAGGCAGGAAGCCCTGGAGTTAGGCCTGGAATTGGTGGTAGGAATGGAGGTGGGAATTGGCTATTTGACCTCTCCATGCTCCATCTCTGCTGTGACTGGACTGTGAGGCCGTGGGCTCGCCTCAATTGGGACTTGGTTGCTGCCCTAACACAAAGCCAGTAACCCCAGAGGACCTCACTGGCCTCTGGGTGCTCTGTGCCAGCATCTCGCACATCTCACAGGTCCATGCTAAGCCTGGGGATAGACAGTAGGTGACAGTAGTACCTGATTGTGTTTTGTGGGAAAGAAGCCAAACTCTTAGCTGCAGTTGTCCTATTGGGAAGATGGAAAGTGGGCTTCCTAGGGTAGCCTCTTGGAGCCATGTGTTGCTTGGTGGATGGATGAATGGAAGATCTGTCCCAGGCCGTGAGGTCATACCTTCTTACTCCCTCTGCATGGGGTGGGCAGGGATGCAGGGGATGATGCTAATGTCTACCTGTATTTGTATGGCCTTAGCTAGAGGGCAGCTCAAAGGAAGGCAGCGGCCCATCTAAGAGTCCTCAGCCTCCCACCAGCCCGATACCCCCAGAGACTTCCCTGAGAGCCAAGAGCCCTGCACCCACACTCGCCATGAATGGCCTGGGAGCTGCCATAGCAGAAGGCCCAAGTGAAGAGGCCCAGGGCCTGTCCCGGAAGAGGGTGGCAAATGCAGTGAGGAAGGTGGTGAGTAAGGTGCTGCCCGGCGAGGAAGTTGGGAATACCAAGGAGCCCCCAGGCAGAGGAATCAAGTCCCCTGAGCACCCGACTCGAAGCAAGAGAGGAGAAAAGGCAGCCCCTAGTCCCAAGCCGCCACCCCCTCCCCCTCCTCCCCCTGCTCCACCTAAGCCTGAAGCGAAGAAGGAGGCGGCCAAGGATGAGCTCTCCCTGGGCCTGCGGAGCCTGATGTCTCGGGGCAGGGGCAAGGAGCACAAGCCGCGCGGCAAGCAGACTCCTGGGAAGGGGGAGAAGCCTTCCAGCCAGGAGCCAACCTCCCCAGACAGGGTGGACTCCCCAGAGAAAGCAGGATCCCCAGCCAAGCCTGAAACCCCAAAGAAGCAGCACTCCCCAGCCCCACCGGAAGAGCTGGCAGCTCCAGGCTCCAGTGGCCCGAAGTCAGACCTCGCTGGAGAGCAGGAGTCCAAGTCACCAGCCCCTGGTGTGAAGCAGGAGGTACACGAGTGTGTCACTAACCGCTCCTGCCCCTCACCAGCCTCGCTCAAGGGCCAGGCGCCCTCACAGCCGGCTTCCCCAAGCCACCTCTATGAACCCTGCATGACCAAGAGGCTGAGCCCAGGGTTGTGTGCTGAAGGCAGGGGCTGCATGGCTTTCTTTAACGGAACGCAGACCCCGAGATTGCCTGGGCTGCCAGCAGCTGGATGGAAACTGCTAACCAGCATGCTGCTGGCCTTGCCATGGGAGTCAGGGCCTGGTCCCCAGCTACATGGCACCAACTTGAGGCCCCAGACCACAAGCTGAGGATCAGAGTCTCAGCAGATCAGTTTCAGGCAGAAAGACAGTGTTTTCTCAAGTCAGGGGGTCTGGGTTTGCATCCCCAGCCACTCACCCCCTGGGACCTCAGCAAAGTCCCATCTCAGACTTCTTCTGTTGAATGGGGATAATGCAGGTCTGAAATTTTTTCTCTGATACCCTGGGTGTAGAAGTATTTTGGAAATTAGTAATTTTTGTATTTTAGTGCCATACAGTATACATAATAAGCAACAACACGTAACAAACATCAATATTTCTAAAGCAAAATCTGAATATTCACACTACAGGGCATAGAGGATAAACTACCAGGTTTTGCCGCCAAAATAGTTAAGAAAAAATGTTTTGGTTTTGGGGCTTTTGGGATTTTGGAATTGCAAATAAGGGATAATACTGCTTTGAAGGATTTTAAGTAACTAGAAGATTAGAAATGATACAGATAATGCTCCAAACTGGTCCCTGGCGTGGTGGGTCCTCTGTAAATGGCAGTGTTGATAGTGGTGCTAATAACCCTTGTTACTGATGCCATCACTGCCTTCTTTAGGTCTGGCCAGCATGACCCTCCGGCAGCAGGACTCTTGAGGAGCCCTGTACTTGGATGGCAGATGGGTACAGTGGGCCCCTTGGGATATAGGGACAACCCCATCTTCCCAGAAAGTGTTCTCTGGGTGGGGCAGGAGGCTGAGAAGCAGGAGGGAGGCTCAGTCCAGCTTCTTCCCCTTCAAAGGTATTGCTGCCTTGGCTGGCCTCTGAGTTGGGGGCAGTTCTCTTCAAGCTTCCCTTTTGTGGACCGTGCTGAGGCCTCACAGGGTGTAGGGGAGGGGCATCAAGTTTTGCCACTACTTCCCTGTGCCTGTGCAGGCTCTTTCTGGCTAGAAGGAGAGACATCTGGAGGGTGCCAGGGAACAGCCTGAGAGGCCTTGAGGCCCTCCCTGACTGCTCCCTCCTGGGACCTGGGGAGCCTTGTTGCTCCCCATTCTTCCTGGGCATTGCAGCACTTAGAGGAAAGCCAGCCACCGCTTTCCCTACCTACCTGGCCCACTCTGTGAATCAGGGAAGTGACTGCTCCTGCTCACAGGGAGGAGCTGGCATGGGCATTTTAGGCAGGGTGTGGGCAAAACTGTCAGTCGCTCTGGAGAACCTATAAGCAGGCAGGGAGAGCTGTGAGCCTGTTCCTGGGCTGGCTGCCCTCCCCTCGTCCCCCCTCCTCTCCCAAGGGAGGAGTTGAGAGCTGACCTGTGCCCTGACCTGGAGTTTAGCCACCTGTCACCTGGACCTGGGTCAGAGGCCAGTGGGCAAGTGGGATAATAGGGCTTAAGAAAGGCAGATGGGATGAAATCACCCCAGGACTCCCAGGCACCTGTTCTTTTTTTCTAATCTGACAGTTTAAAACCTCAAGTTGCCGCGTGGCTTACCTCCCTGGCGCTACTTTCCTTCCCTGATGGGTCCCAGTGGCTTCCTGGGCTGGGAGCTCGGCATGCTGCAGCTCCTTCATTTCTGCACTGGGACTAATAGTGGTTTAACCTTTAGGCAGGAGCTGCCAAGGTCCAGCTGACCCCCGTGGAAGAGGCCCACCAGCGGCTGGAGAGGATCTTCACAGCTTCTGTAATGCCGCTTGCGTGTGTGGGTCTGAGTCCCTGGCTGTCCTCTTCCTGAGGCTGTCGGCAGGGCCCTGTGTGTCTGTAGGCGCGCTGACTGTGAAGGTGGCTCCGTGGCGGCCTGTGGGCCCTCATGTTGGCCCTTCTCTTAAAGCAATGAGAGAAGGGCTCTGGGGAGAGTCGTCCCTCCAGAGAGCCCAAAGCCATGTGCACATGGGAGGGCGCCCTGCTTGCTCAGGGTCCAGTCCCTTTCTCTAGCCACATTGCCCTGCCTTGAGGGCATGTCTTGGTGTCAGGGCCTTGCGGGTAGTAAGGAAGGGTACTGTCGCTATTTTTGGTGCCCTGGCTCTTCAGACCTAGGTGGGGCCTGTTAACTCCTTGCCCATTTCTAACAGGTAATGTCCAAGTCCTGGTTGATGTACCTTCCTCCCCAGAAATGCTTTTCAGGGCTTTAAGTAACCAGAGAGGTCACAGCTGGCTGCAGGGTCTGCCCACAGTGCCTTGGCTCTTGTGCAGCTGTTAGGTGGTCCCTAGGTTGGATCTAGGTGGGGTCACTGTGCCTGGCTGGCAGAGGTGGGAGTACTGTAGGGTGCATGGGGGTTGAGGGAGAGACCCTAGACTGGAGCTGGTGGGAGCTATGTTCAATGAGGTGCAGGGCTACAGCTCTGAGCGCAGCCCTTGGCCTGGGGAGTGGCACCCCGGGGCTGTGTTAGAAAACGAGGAGCAGCTCTGTGCTGGGGCATTTCTCTAGGCTGAGAAATGCCCTGGAGATAAGGCAAGATGCTCCCAGGGGGCCCAGGCCTTGGGTGTGGTGAGGTGGCCTGGCCCGGTAGACACATGGAAGAGGGAGCCTGATTCAGAATGGATCAGGTGGCCAGCCCGGGAGAGGCTGCGACCAGAGGCAGAGTGGCAGACTCCTGCCCAGGCCACTGGGAATGACTTAGAACCGCGTCTCCTGAGGCCTGATGGTCACTAGTATCTCTTCACCTTCCTGGCCTCTCCTTGACTGGGTACAGTTCACCTGCCCAGGCCCGCTCCCAGGTCCTGTGCCAAGCTCCTCCACCTTCACCCCGGGCCTGGGATAACCAGAGAGTGCTGGCCTAGTTGACCCAGGAGCGCTTGCTAAAGGGGGCGTGCCAGTGGTCTGCTTGTCTTCACCCCTCTTCTCTCTCTCTCTCTCTCCTTTGCTTGCTGTTGGTAGCTGGACCCTGAGGCTGCCTCTCCTGCCCACAGCCAGGTAGGGTGCTCTTCCCCCACTCAGGAGCCCTCTGCTCCCTCCGGTGACCACCCAGTGCCCCCGGCCTGCACCTGGGCTGGCATCTGTGCTCGGGCCTCCTGCTGGAGTGTAAGGCCTCTTTCCCCTCCAGGCTCCCACCCTGTGTCTGGGAGGACCCCAGGGGGAAGCAATGCTGGGAGCTTGAGATGGTGCAGCTCTGTGCCAGGCCCTTGGGGAGCATCTAGACCGAGTGTTGCTCTTCAAGTTGGGCGCATGTGGCATATGGTTCTCAGCCACTGGGGCCCATGGGGGGCCTCGTTGAGTTCTAGGTGTTTCAGTTCTGCTCACTGTGGATAGAGAAAGCTAAAAAGGCCAAATCCCTGCCCTCTTCCCAGCCCATGCCTGAAGATGAGACATTCTTTGTCTCCACCTCCTGGCCAATGTGAGAAACCTATTTTCAGATTAGCTCTGAAGGAGTTTGTTATAGGCTATGATGTCACCTTCATCAGTCCCCAAATACCTGGTCCATAGAAGGTGTCCAATTAAGACAAATGTCTTCCCTGTCTTACGTGATTTGAAAAAAAAAATACAACATTGTAATGATTTGTATAAAATTATAGTTCTGTAATCATAAAGAACTAGCCGTTTTAATGTCCTTGCTGAACACACTGAAATGTTGCCAGCCCCATGGTGATCCTCCTATTCAAAGACTTATTTCATGCGTCCATGAAACCCAGAGATCTGGGAGCCACTGGTGTAGCCCAGCCCTCTTACTCCAAGCTGGGGAAGGGCAGTCCACTGCTGGAGGGATTTGTCTAAAGCCAGAAGCCAGCCTGGGAGGAGAGCTCCCATCTCCTTTTCTTTCAGCTCTGAGAAATGTGACAAAGAATGTATTTCTTATGTTTTCTTATCCTTTCCTAATTTCTCACCCAGGGGATCAGGACCCAGAGAGTATCCACAGCTGGGCCTCGGGTCTCAGGTTAATTGTGCCCCACAACTGGAGCCCTCTAAGAGTGTAGGGGCTCGGGCTAACCTGAGGGTGGGCCCATAGCACTGTGGTGCCCATCCCCCACCCAGGGCACGGGACAACCTTGCTGCCATTTCACCCGCTCACGACAAGGGGAGCCCGATGGGCCCTGGGTTCCTCGTCTGTTTCCCCAGCTCCCCACGCACAATTTCGTCCCAGCTCAAGTGTCCTTAGAGGGTGCCAGGTTTGACAGCCCCATACCCTTTCAGTATCTATGAATGGTGATTTCTGAGCTGATGACCTCCTGAGGCCTCTGGGGGCTCCCAGCTCCTTCACACCACTCCTGTGCCACTCCTGTGCCCATCTGTGTAATGTGCAAGCCTCTCCCTGTGTTTGACAGAGCAGGGCTGCCCCTACCCCCATATTTCTGGCCACCCTGACTCGTGCCCTTGTGTGGCATCAGCATGTCCACTAGGTTTGTGTGACAGGGGTCTTTGCTGGCAGTGGCATGCAGGAGGAGCAGGGAGGCTGGTATGTGTACCTAGGCACTGTCCCCCTGCCCAGATAGAGCACCCTCTGCAGGGGAGGGCCGGGCTGAGGCCGGGGCTCTGAGCCCACCTATCATTCTGTACTGCAAAGTCTGAGTGACACTCCCCTCTCAGGTCTGAGGACATGCCCTCTCCCAGCTTGGCAAAGGAGGCCCTATCATTTGGATGAAGGGAGAAGCTGGGCATGGAATATCCTAGTAGCTGTGGCCAGGGTCTAGGGCCTTGTACTCAGGACACTGATCTCCCAGGCTTGGCAGTGTGGAGGGGCAGGGGCAGCTGAGGGAGAACCTGGTGATTTGCTTCCCTGGGGCCTGCTCTCTCCTGGGCACAAGCTCCCTCTGTCCCTGTCCTGCCAGATCCTCACTGATGGTATGGTCCCGAGCCTCTGTGTCCTATCCTCAGGGCTCCTCAGAGCCGCCCCTGTCTCCTGGTTTCCCCACCCTCATTCCTGGATACCTCTGATGTCCCTGTGTTTGTTCTGTGTCTGCCACCTAACTCATCCCTCGCCCAGTGGCTCATCTTGAAGCCCTTCCCTCACTTGCCTCCCCTCTCCTGCTGTCCTTGTCCCTGTCTTCCATAGCAGGACCTGACTGTTTACTCCTCCCTCTCTGACAGGCAAAGACAGAAGAGCAGATTGCAGCAGAGGAGGCCTGGAATGAGACGGAGAAGGTGTGGCTGGTCCATAGGGATGGCTTCTCACTGGGTGAGTCTCGGAGGGTCGGGGACACATGTCGGGACTCTCTAGTCTCAGGGCTGGGCAGCGGATGTGCCTTCTGCATCTGGGCAGTGAGCAAGGGGAGGCTGGTGATGCAGTGGGGAGGAGGGCAGGACCGAGAAGGTCCCAAGTGGGGTAGCAGAGGCTTCCCAGCCCCATCCCAATTGTCTGTCCCTCCCCTGCAGCCAGTCAGCTCAAATCCGAGGAGCTCAGCCTGCCTGAGGGGAAGGTGCGTGTGAAGCTGGACCACGATGGAGCCATCCTGGATGTGGACGAGGATGACGTGGAGAAGGTGGGCAGGGGGCTGGGGGAGGGGAGGAAGCTCAGGAGTGCACTGGGAGGGGCAGACCCGTCCTCTGGCAGCAGAGATGGGCTCTGCTGTTCCAGTGCCCACCTGTTTGTCCTCCCACACAGGCTAATGCTCCCTCCTGCGACCGTCTGGAGGATCTGGCCTCACTGGTGTACCTCAATGAGTCCAGTGTCCTGCACACCTTACGCCAGCGCTACGGTGCTAGCCTGCTGCACACATATGCTGGCCCCAGCCTGCTGGTCCTCGGCCCCCGTGGGGCCCCTGCTGTGTACTCCGAGAAGGTGCGGCGCCCTTGAGGCTACCCCACTGGCTCCTGGCCCCACCTTCCGCTCTGGCTCTCTGTGCTTTCCCTCTGGCATCCCACTGGGCTCCTGTCCACTCTCACAGTTGACCTGGGAGGAGGAATCGTTTCAAGAGATGGAGACAAGACCTCCCCACCACCTTTGATGGAGTGAAGGACTTAGTGTCTGCAATTCCATGCATGGCCTTGGCCTCGGTCTCAGAATCCCTGGGCACTACAGGAGGGAAAATCCAGAAAGACATGGACCTTGGGGGTAAGGGGTGTCTAAATAGGAACAGCTAAGAGCCAACCCCTTCTCTCCCCCGCTGTCCGCCCAAGGTGATGCACATGTTCAAGGGGTGTCGGCGGGAGGACATGGCTCCCCACATCTATGCCGTGGCCCAGACCGCATATCGGGCCATGCTGATGAGCCGCCAGGACCAGTCGATCGTCCTCCTGGGCAGCAGTGGCAGTGGCAAGACCTCCAGCTGCCAGCATCTGGTGCAGTACCTGGCCACCATCGCGGGCGTCAGCGGGAACAAAGTGTTTTCTGGTGAGGCAAGGACAACGGAGAAAAGTGAGAGTGGGGTGAGGAGGGGGGTGAGGAGAGAGTACCCGCTGAGGTGCCAGCTCTTTTTCTCCCTGGCCTTTCCATTCCCCCAAAACCCCTCTGTCCATGGGCAGTTCTGGTCTGAGTGGCCCCAAGCCTTCATGCCTCTGGAGCTCCTAGCTGGGGGATAAGCTGCCCCTGACTTTCCTGATGTCCCCTTGGGCCTGTATTCTGCAGTGGAGAAGTGGCAGGCTCTGTACACCCTCCTGGAAGCCTTTGGGAACAGCCCCACCATCATGAACGGCAATGCCACCCGCTTCTCCCAGATCCTCTCTCTGGACTTTGACCAAGCTGGCCAGGTGGCCTCAGCCTCCATTCAGGTGAGAGTGCTGCCCAGGACTTGGGGTAGGAGGAGATGAACCACAGGATTTCATGACCTAGAAATGAGGCTGTCTCCTGTGCCTCATTTTCCTGGGATTCTGCCTCAACAAAATTGAGCCAGACCTGGGCAGGGTTGGCCTGTGCTGCCCGGAGGCATCGCCTTTCTGCCCTCTGTGCCTCCTGCCCTGTATGGGGCCCGGCCCAGCTTTCTGCCCAGTTCCCTTCGCTCTTCCAATCCTGGGGTTGTCCTCAGCTCACTGCTGGGCCTCAGCCTCACTCCCACTTTCTGAGATTCATGCTCAGGGGCTTCTCTCAGACCGATTTCACCTAGCAGAGGAGTGGCTTGTCAGAAAGTAATGCCCAGCCAAAACTGATTCCCTCCCATACTAAATACATCACCACAAGCTCCCACTTCCAGAAGGCAGGTGCCTGCAGGCTGGGCAGAGCAACAGGGTCCCTTTGGGAGGAGCTGGGCCTGTCTTCTTCCACCTTGTTCTGGTTTCTGTCCCTTATTTGAGCCTAGAGGGATCTGGTATCTGGTTGACCACCTTGGGAATAAGATGTAGCTGCTTAATTGAGCCAGATGTGGTAGCACATGCCTGTGGTCCCAGCTACTTGGGAGACTAAAATTGGAGGGTCACTTGAGCCTGGGAGATTGAGGCTGCAGCAAGCTGTGATTGTACCACTGCACTCCAGCCTGGGCAACGGAGCGAGACCATATCTAAAAAAATAATTTTTAAAAAAGATGCAGGTTGGGAATGGTGGCTTATGCCTTTAATCCCAGCACTTTGGGAGGCTGAGGCAGGCAGATCACCTGAGGTCAGGAGTTCAAGACCAGCCTGACCCCATCTCTACTAAAAATACAAAAATCAACCTGGTGTGGTGGTGCATGTGCCTGTAATTTCAGCTACTTGGGAGGCCAAGGCAGGAGAATCACTTGAACCCAGGAGGCAGAGGTTGCAGTGAGCCGAGATCGCACTCAGAGCACCATTGCAGTCCAGCCTTGGTGATGGAGTGAGACTCCATCTCAAATCTAAAAAAAACCAAAAAATGCAGCTTCTTGTTCCCCAGGGCCTAGAGGACCCTGGGCTTAATTCCTTCTGATGTGCTGATGTGGGGTGGGAGAAACTCAATCTGGTACTACCCTCCTTACCTTACCCACACCTCCATGCTGTCCCACAGACAATGCTTCTGGAGAAGTTGCGTGTGGCTCGGCGCCCAGCCAATGAAGCCACATTCAACGTCTTCTACTACCTGCTGGCCTGTGGGGATGGCAGCCTCAGGTGAGATGGGTCAGAGGGTACACAAGGGTGCTCTGAGCTCCAGCCCACTGACTAGGCTCCTGGGCCTTGACTGCATCCTCAGTTAAAGCCACCTGATCGCATCCTGCACTGTTTGGTCACTGCATGTCTGCTATGTGCTAGGCTCTGACCGGGGTCCCAGGGACAGTGAGATGAATTAGACATAGCCCCTGCCTGTCAGGAACTCCCTGCTCCCAGGTACTGCGGCCCGGCTATAAGGGAGGGGAACAGCCAGCCCTTCAGTGTTTCCAGGGCCTAGCTAGGAGCTCCGTTACCCATGAAGCCAGTTCTGGAAAGCAAAGCACACAGAGGTGCCAGGGGCTGGGGAGTTCCCTTGGGCTTGTATTCTGCAGTGGAGAAGTGGCAGGCTCTGTACACCCTCCTGGAAGCCTTTGGGAACAGCTCCACCATCATGAATGGCAATGCCACCCACTTCTCCTGGCTAGTAGGGGGCTGAGCTGGTATTTGAGTCCACACTGGGGCCAAAAGCCCTTGCCTTTTCCAGTGCCCTCCAGGCTGGCCCTTCCTGGCCCATGTTGGTTGCCTCTGCCATGCACTTCCCCTCAGACCTTCAGACTTGGCATGTGTGTTCACTGAAAGGAGATAAATGATGAGGCTGAGTCGGCAGCCCCAGGCCATTGTTCTCTTTAGCCCTTCTTGTAACTGAGGGCATGGGCATGGGCATGGTCTCTGCCTTGGCTGGACTCGCCCTTCAGGCAGGTCCCCTGCTCTGTTCTGAGGGCCTGGCTGCATCCTCTCAGCAGGGCATGTCTGGTGACCTGTCCTCAGGAGAACGGTGCTCTGACCAGGCTTCCAGGCCAGTTAGGAAAGCGCGGCAGCTGGCCTGCCAGTTGGGGATGATGGCGTGATGGGCAGACAGAATTTGGAGTCTGGAAGCTGAGTCTGTCTCTCTCCACCCTGGGAGGGAAATGGCCTTGGCATGGGGACCAAGCACCGTGCTGACGCCTCATTTGTACCCCTAGGACAGAGCTCCACCTCAACCACTTGGCAGAGAACAGTGTGTTTGGGATTGTGCCACTGGCCAAGGTGAGGGATCCGTGGGGTCTGGGTTGGCATCCCTGAGCCTTGGTGGGTAGGAGAAACCTCCAAGGGTCCCGTGGGAATAGCGGGAGCCCAGCTCACTCCAGCTGCTGACTCTACCCAAGCCTCACCCTCCCTGAGGGCCCAGCCTGTGGGGATGTGCTGGGAGGGACAGCCCTTTGAGGTCATCTGTCTCCACAGCCTGAGGAAAAGCAGAAGGCGGCTCAGCAGTTTAGTAAGCTGCAGGCGGCCATGAAGGTGCTGGGCATCTCCCCTGATGAACAGAAGGCCTGCTGGCTCATTCTGGCTGCCATCTACCACCTGGGGGCTGCAGGAGCCACCAAAGGTAACCTGCAGTGTGTCCCAGCAAGCTGGCTTATCCCCTGGGAGACCTCTTAGGAACCCTGCCCACTCCCAGTTTATTCTGGCCCAGGACAGACTCAGCCATTCTGAGACACCCCTCTTTTGCTTCTCAGCCCCCCACATCAGAGCAGAAGGCCCAAGAAGTGTCTTTGCCAGTGACAGCCTGAGGCCTGGACTTAGCTGTCCATGCTGGGGGGTACCGTGAGGATGCATGGAGGGCTGGGGGTTCAGAGGCTGAGGGACAGGAAGGGTACTAAGGCAGGGCAGACCCCCTGGAATAATTCTCCTCCTTGTTCCCTTCCTGACAGAGGCCCCCGAGGAGCAAGAGGGTAACTGACTTCGGCCCTGCCCTGGGGTGTAGGGGACACTATGCCCTGTCTTGGTGCTTGCCCAGGACTTTCTAGGGGCTGGGCTTGTTCTATCACTGTGGAGAGGACTGGTCTGGGGAGAAGCCCCAGGGTTGAGAGTGGAAGGGGAGACTGCAGGCTGTGGGGTGTCTTGGAGTCCCAGGAGTAGCTGGTTCTCCTGCCTGTTTTGGATCTGGATTCTGGAACCTCTTAGGATGCCCTCCATGGGATGGGATAGGGTGGGCTTGCTTCCTGGGGCCTCCTGAGACCAGTTTTCCCCAGTCCTCTTCCCTTCTCTCCACTGGTTGGGTAGCTGCGTCTCTTCCTCTTGCATGTCAGGGTGGCTGCCACTAGAGGGCAGCAGGCACCGCAGTAACGAATGGACTGCAGCTAAGGCACTTGCGCCTGGGGACTTGGCCTTGCTTGGAAGAGCTCTGCTCCATCCTCCAAGATGACTTACACTGGAGGGTGGTGATCCTCTTCACCCCTTTTTCCTCCAGTTTCGGGAAAGGGGATGCTGGCACTGAACAGCACCTTGGGCTTTGGTACCCCTCTGGGATGTGAAGGGCCCCAGGCTGCTCAGCTGGAGTGAGAAAGCCCTGGCGGGTGGTGGGTGCCTGGCAGAACGGGTGCCTGGCCTTGAGGCTCTGTGTGACCCCAAGAGGTGGCATCCCTGCCCAGGAGGAGTCAGGCTCTGTGTTAGAGAAGTTGTCTCAAGACTGTGGAGGATGGGCAGGCAGGCGGGCACATGGCTGTGTCTTGAGGGAGGTGGCTTCACTTTGAAGCGGTGACAAACCTGGCTTTCCTCTAACCTACCCAGCCCCAGCTGCAGGCAGAGAGCTCCAGGTGTCGGCACAGGGACCTTGTGGAGCAAAGTCTGTTAGCGCCTCAGAGCTTCCGGTGGTTTTTTTTTGGGGGGGGGGAGGGGTGCACAAACGTCTTTACAGGTCTCTTTCTGTGTGTGTCAATGTGATTACACCCACAAGTATACTCCCTGGAGACTGTGTGTGTGTGCGTGTGTCCCAAGTCTGACTGTGGTTGTGTTTTCTTGCCTGCTCATCCTCACAACCCCCCGCCCCACGGACCCTCCGAGACAGCAAGCTCCGTTGATGACTGTTTGCTAACACACTGTTTTTCTTTGCATGCTGCATGCTGGTCCTTTGCCTTACAGAAGCTACTGAAGGTAAAACCTTGTTTCTTGTTAGCTTTCCCTAATTGGCGTGATTAGACACATGTTGGCTGAGGCGCGTATGTCTGTGCGGGCTGTTCCCTTTCCCCTGTGGCTTTTTTGCCTCCCCACTGTTGGGCTATTAGAGGGTGTTTGTGGTCTCCATGGGCAGATGCCAGGGGGCAAGAGGGAGGGTTCTAATGCACCTAGGGAATGGGGAGTCCTCTCTCAAGATAAATCCCCCGCAGGCACATGGGTTTCTTGTGCCCATCCAGGTGGGCTGGTTTGTCCTCTGACTCTGCCCTTCTCCTAGTTGGGCACCCCTGGAGCTGAGCCCTCTGAAAAGGGCTTTTTGCAGCTGGCTTGTTGCCCTCTGGTGGTAGCATGTGGAGTTACCTCCTCTTTAGGACCTGCTCATTCTCTTTATCCCCACGGAACACAGGAAGTACTGGCCACTGCTAGCTGCCCCTGTTCTGCCTGAAGCCCATCAGGTGTCATCTGGGCTGATTTTTGCCTCCAGAAGATGCAGTCATCAGCTGGTCATCAGGTGATCAGCTGGCCTAAGGAAAAACACCCAGGATGCAAGATCCCTTTTTCTACCCTACAGCTGGGCGCAAGCAGTTTGCCCGCCATGAGTGGGCCCAGAAGGCGGCGTACCTGCTGGGCTGCAGCCTGGAGGAGCTGTCCTCAGCCATCTTCAAGCACCAGCACAAGGCTGGCACTCTGCAGCGCTCCACCTCCTTCCGCCAGGGCCCTGAGGAGAGCAGCCTGGGAAATGGGACAGGTACTCTTTGCCCCTTGGCTGGTAATTGTGAGCAGGAGGCCTCATCCAGGGCTTGCTGCCATCCATGCGGCTAGAGGGGACTGCTGGAGTGAACTGATGCTCGTCAGTGGCAGAAGCCCCACCCCAGGCCCCATGCTGGCTGGGCCCTGGGCAGTTCAGGGCCTCACCCAGGTGGGGAGCCCTGGGGAGCAGGAGATAGCGCTGCTCCCCCTGCCCCACAGGCCCGAAACTGAGTGCGCTGGAGTGCCTCGAGGGGATGGCGGCTGGCCTCTACAGCGAGCTCTTCACCCTTCTCGTCTCCCTGGTAAACAGGTGAGTGCCAGGCGAGACCCAGGGTGTTTCCTGCTTCGGCAGAGGTGGAGTTGATGCCTTTGTGTCTGGTTGGCTGAGGCAGAGCTAGCCTCCTCCAGCAGGGGCTCACTATCTCGTGGGGGCCATGAGGCCGGCACTCCCTCCCAACCAGGTTCCTGGGGACCTGGGCAGGGGTGGAGGTCAGGCTTGGGTAGGGCAGGGCTGCCTGGTGCCAGGGACCAACCAGCGGGGCTCTGACCCAGGCTGTCCCTGTCCAGGGCTCTCAAGTCCAGCCAGCACTCGCTGTGCTCCATGATGATTGTGGACACCCCGGGCTTCCAGAACCCTGAGCAGGGTGGGTCAGCTCGCGGAGCCTCCTTTGAGGAGCTGTGCCACAACTACGCCCAGGACCGGCTGCAGAGGCTCTTCCACGAGCGCACCTTCGTGCAGGAGCTGGAAAGATACAAGGAGGTAGCTCTCGGACCTGGGCCCCCTGGGCGCCACCCAGCCTCAGCTTCTGGCCTTGGCACCCCCAGAAGGGCATCTGTGGATGCAGAAGGCACCCCCTCCCCACTCCTTACTCTCTGTTTCTGTCCTCCCGTGCTCTCTGGAGCAGGAATCATTCCTTGCCACCTTTTCCCTGGCCTCTGGCTTTGGCTATGTTCTCACTTTGTGGAGAGTTTACTCTCCAAGAAGCTGCGGGTGCACTGAGGGCCCCCAGGAGGCTGCCCTTGCCCTCTTTTGAGGCACCTCCCTGGCCTGATGATTGCCACTGTGTGGTTCCCGCTCCAAGGGTGTCTGAGCCTGGCCTTCCCGTCTCCCTTCCCTGATCTGTGAGGATGCCGGGTGATGGCTTAGTGCCTTCTATAAGAGTGTCCCGGATAGGATGAGAACTGGAAATCCTGCCTCACCTGAAAGTGAGTTGAGTGAATTGTCAGGATATTTATTTGGGACGAAAGAGGATTCAGAAGGAAAATGGCATTTGTCTTCAAGTGCTCAAGGATGATTGTGTGAAATTAAGAGTGGGCTTACTCTGCGTTGCCTAATCAACTGATGTGAGTAACAGGAGAATGTGACTCTGGCTTAGGTTAAAAAGAGGTTCTGAGAATTTTAGCTGTACAAAAAATATAGTGAGTTGCCTTTGGAGCAATTTCATTTGGGATGATGGTGGGAGCACCTGCAGGCACAGAAGGAGGTTGGCCTTGCTGGCCTCAGGACCCCCCAGCCACTCAAAGGGCTGTGTCCCCAATGTGACCCTCATGCTCAGTATTGCTTGGCCTTCCTTCCCAGGAGAACATTGAGCTGGCGTTTGATGACTTGGAGCCCCCCACGGGTGACTCTGTGGCTGCTGTGGACCAGGCCTCCCATCAGTCCCTGGTAGGAGCTCCAGAGAGGGTCTGGGCAGCCTTTCTTCTCATTACTTACCCCTCTCCTCATGTGAGCTGCTGCTGGGGGTGCCACTGTGGGCTGAGGGAGGGTCCAGCAGTCATGCCCAGACACCAACTACTCTGTGGAGCTGGGGCTCTGCCTCTCAGCACTCAGGCAGTCTGGCCAGGAAGGCAGCATTTTCTTCTGCCCTGCTGCCCTGGGGAGCCACAGCCCATGGGTGTCCCAGCCGGGCAGGAATGCATATCTCATTTCTTAGCATCTGAGGCTCAGGTCCCAGCTGGTGACTGGCTGAGCCACCAGTGCGTCTGCCAGGAGCCCTGGTGACCAGTTCCAAGTAGGGAGGGCGCAGACCCCAAGGACAAAGTCATTCCCTCCCATTGTCTCCAAGAAGAGGACTGGTGCAACCTAACAGAGCAGGGCCAAGAGCCAGCCTCCCACTCCCAGTGGAGACAGTGCCAAGCTGTACAACGCCCTCTGGGGGGCTGTCATGGATTTGAAGCCTTGCCCCTCAACCCTGGGGGCAGGCTTTGTCACCCTTTGTACTAGCGTCTTGGGCACCTTGGCACTCGGTGGGGGACTGGCTGGCCTTGCGAACACTTGGCATTTAGCGCTTGTCCTCCATTGGGGAATTGCATAAGGTGCTCTGTTGGAGAACCGGCATTTTGTGAGGCTGCCGATCTCCCTCCTCTGCTTTCATTCCTGCCTCTCCCTCCCTCTTCTCTGCCATAAGGCCCTGTTTGGCTTGCTTACGTGGTGGGGCCTGGGAGAGAGTGAGTATCCCCGGGGACAGATGTTTAAAGTGCCCAAGCACCGTGTCTCCCCAGGGAAGTGGATTTTCTTTTCCTGACACCTGAGTTCCTGTGGTGGCCTCACTCAGAGCCGTTGTAGTTCCTGGGAGAGGGGGGACATCAGCATGTGAGACTCATGAGCAGCAGGGGTCAGGCAGCGTGTGGGAAGAGCTCAGCCCTCCTTTGTCTCCTGTGGTCTCCTCTGACTACTGTGCCCTGGCTTGGGGCGGCTGCACCCCTGGGAAGGGGCCTTGGTGCCAAGCCTGTCTCCCCATCTGATGGCTTCATTGCTCATTCCCGCTACTCAGCGCCTGCTGCCAGAGTTGCCCTGCCCTTTGGCCACGTTCTGCTTCCTTCTGGTAATCACGGCAACTCCCTCAGGTATCTGCGGGGAGGAGAAGCTGGCAGCTGGGGTCAGAGAGACGAAAAATGGCTCTTTTTCTCACTTCTTTTTTCCTCTGGTCCCTAAAGTCCAGGCCAGAATAGGGTGTAGGGAAGGTTCCTTCCTTCCTGCCCGAGGAAGATGTGGGAACGCCATAGAAAAGGCAACTTCAGGCCAGATGTGGCCACAGGCCTAGTTTGTTTGGCCTTCATGGGATATTAGAAATCAGAATTTTGTATATTTCTACCTTCTCCTGAAGAACCAGAGAGTTTATCAGTGCTAGGCCAGTGTTCTTCCAGGACAGCAGTTGGCTGCAGCTCAGTGGTGGTGGTTCTCTTTAGACAGGGACACCTGCTCTCTAGCTCGTCCCAGCTTCCACCAGGTTTGGCTGCCACATCCATTAAGTCACCTGTCTTATGCTTTTGGCCCTTGAGTTTATACCCTGCAGTGATCCCGGCAGCCATCTGAGCCCTCTCTGGGTTCCCTCCTCTCAGGGACCAGGATTAAGCCCACAGCCATCACTCACTAACAGCTTCCATAGGGCCAAGCCTTGTGCTCAGGGCCTTCCAGACTTTATCCCACTGCCAAGGAGTGAGAGCAGTACAGGACTCACCCAGGCCCCTTGTGACCTCTGAGGGGACAAGGGTGGAGGAGGGCCTCAGGGCACAGGTTTGGGCCAGCAGGAAGGCTGCAGTCTTTGGTGACTTTGGACCAGAGCGATAAGCGTCCTCTTTTGCTGTGGGCTTCCCTCCGCTCCGTTTCTAGGCTCCCCTTTTTCTGGGCTGCCCGCCTCCTCCACAAGGTGTCAGCAGTGAGCAGCAGGAGCTGTGGCGTGTGCGTGAGTGCATGGGTGCATGTGTGTAGCATTCTGTAGGGTGTGTTTGGGCCCAGGGACCCTGGCCCCTTTCCCACAGCTCCATATGACAAGGAGGGATTGCTCCTTCTCTGTAGGTCCGCTCACTGGCCCGCACAGACGAGGCAAGGGGCCTGCTCTGGCTATTGGAAGAGGAGGCCCTGGTGCCAGGGGCCAGTGAGGATGCCCTCCTGGAGCGCCTTTTCTCCTATTATGGCCCCCAGGAAGGTGACAAAAAAGGTAGGTGCCATCCCTAGAGGGTAGCTCCTCTGCTTCCTCTTACACACAGGTGGAGCCAGGTGGCACTCCTTGGGGCCCACTTTGGGCCTGGGCCCTGCCCGACAACCGGAGTCTTGCTTCTCTTACCCCCAGGCCAAAGCCCCCTTCTGCGCAGCAGCAAACCACACCATTTTCTCCTGGGCCACAGCCATGGCACCAACTGGGTAGAGTACAACGTGACTGGCTGGCTGAACTACACCAAGCAGAACCCAGCCACCCAGAATGCCCCCCGGCTCCTGCAGGACTCCCAGAAGTAAGACCACCACTCCATCTGCCCCTGTTCTGTTCCCAGGACTGTTTTGGTTTTGGGGTGCCCTCCTCCTGGAGTTGTCTCAGAGGCCCCCTCACTAGCAAAGTAGATGGCCTTTATTTCTGAGAGGCAGTGGCCCAGGGCACTTGGCCTTGAGGAACTGGAGAAGGCTCCTGGACTAGAGCGGGGAGGCCGACATGGTGAGAGAGCCATGGTTTAAATTTAAAGAACACCCCACAGTCAAAGAAGGCAGGAGCAGCCTTTGAAACCCCCTGCCCCACAGGCCCTGTCATCCGCTCACTTATTCAGAAGATGGTTAGTGGACATCCACCCTGCAACAGGCGCTTGGCAGATAATAGTGAACAAAACTGAACTCCCTGCCCCTGTGGGCTTTACATTCTAGTGGGAGAGACAGATAATAAACAGGAAACGTAATAAGTAAATTATATCATATGTTAGAAGATGTTGAACCCTAACCCCTCCTGTCACATTGGAAGCCCTTCCACACCTCTGCCCTCCCTACTGAGGGAGAAATAGATGAGTAGGTCGCTCCCCTCTGTCCGATTCCTGTCCACCCCTTGGCTTCTGCCCACTTCCCACTTTCTCTCCTTACTGTTTGAAAATTTCTCCAGTTTGTTTCTCTGTAGGGTGTGGGACATACAGTCAGGTAGCCAGGCCCCTGGATGTGGCTGAATGGGACTGTTTGGTGCCCTGGGGCCTCGTAGGAAGAGTAGTCTCTCCTGCTCCATTGAGGTGACTCCTTTTCCTCCCTTGTCCTCCCACCTCTGGCAGAAAAATTATCAGCAACCTGTTTCTGGGCCGCGCAGGCAGTGCCACAGTGCTCTCAGGCTCCATTGCGGGCCTGGAGGGCGGCTCACAGCTGGCACTGCGCCGGGCCACCAGTATGAGGAAGACCTTTACCACAGGCATGGCGGCTGTCAAAAAGAAGTCACTGTGCATCCAGATTAAGCTGCAGGTGGTAAGTGCCAGCCCAGACCCCAGCAGGCAGGCCTGGGGACTCTTCCTTACTCCTGGCAGGCAGGCCTGGGGACTCCAAGCACACTGAGGCCATCTGGTGCCCACTCAGCATCCCGCTGTGACTCGATGGCTGCTGGTGGGGTCTTCTTTTCAGTGCTGCCGCCTGTGAGTGGCCAGCCAGGCCTGGCGACGGCAGAGTTGTCCAGGCTTAGCGTGTCCTGGCTGGTGCTGGGACCCCTGCTACCCTGTGAGCAGTGGAGATGCTGGCACCAGTCCCTGCTCTCCTGGGCAAGGGCCATCAGAGCCCACTGAGGGCAGTCCCTTCCCCTTGGCAGGACGCCCTCATTGACACCATCAAGAAGTCAAAGCTGCATTTCGTCCATTGCTTCCTGCCCGTGGCTGAGGGCTGGGCCGGAGAGCCCCGTTCTGCTTCCTCCCGCCGAGTCAGCAGCAGCAGTGAGCTGGACCTGCCCTCGGGAGACCACTGCGAGGCTGGCCTCCTGCAGCTGGATGTGCCCCTGCTCCGCACCCAGCTCCGCGGCTCCCGCCTGCTCGATGCCATGCGCATGTACCGCCAAGGTGGGGCCTCCTTCCCTCTCAACTCCTGGCTCTCTTTTCCAGAGCTGGCCTGCGTTGCGCAGCCTCCCACCTGGGACCCGTGGGCCGTGGTGGGGCTGCTCCTGCCTCAGGGCTGGCCCTTATCTCTTTCCTCACACTCCTTTCTGCTCTGATCTCTCCTTGTCTCTCCCAGCCCACAGCCCCTTCCTTCCTCCATTTCTTTCCATCCTACAGAGTCCCTGCCTCCTCCTCTCCCTTCCACATTCAGTTCTCTTCACCCTGCACCCCTGCCCCACCCCACTCCTGTCATTTGTCCAGAGCCTCCTATCTCCCCATGTCCCCAGTTTGAACAGCTCAACTTTGCCCACAGCAGCAAACCCGGTGCCCTTTCGGAGCCATCTGCCCAGTGAGAAATGAGGTGCTAAATCTTTCTGAAGTACTTAAAATTCCCAAGAAAGGTCAGACAGACTCTTTTTATGGACCCATCTAGAGGAGGAGACAGAGAGGATGATAGTGGTTACTTAGCGTCCTTAGACCATTTACCGCACACTCACCATTCGAAGCTCTTCCCACATATTCACTCATTTAATCCTCACAACAACCTCATGAGGCAGATGCTGCTATCATTCCAGCTGAGCAGACTGAGGCTCAGAGAGGTTAACTAGCTTGCCTAAGGTCACTCAGCTCCTGAGTGGCTGAGCAGGATTTGACTAGGCAGGCTGGCTGTAGAGTCACGTCTCATGTCTCTCAAGTAGGGTATTTTTTGTTTGTTTTTATTTTTTGCCTGACAAGTTATGAGTTGCTGGTTTTCTGCTGTTTTTCTCCTTCACTAGAAAAGCAGGTAGGGTCCCACCCCCCCACAGCCAGGTCCCCTTCAGATATTCCCGTGGGCACCGTCACTTTTCCTTAGCAGCCCAAGCCAGGAAACAGGCTCCCTGCCCTGCTCTAAATAAATCATCGATCTGTCCCCATGTCTTGATATGGAGTTGGTGTTTATTATTTCAAAACCAGATTGTTACCGCTCTGAACCAAAATCAATGTGCTTTACTCAAACAAGCAGATCGATGAGGCCGGCAGCAGCAGGCCCCCCTTCCCTCACCCGGCCCCCAGCCACTGACGATAGCACTGATGATTAATTAAGATGCCAGGCGTCCAGACCTGCTATCCTGGCCCATCAATTTAATTGCAATTCAGATACAATCAATAGCTCACTTTATCTTGGCCCCTCAGCAGCCCCCACCTCCTGTTTCAATTATCAGGCACATGCATCAGCCTCACCTCCCAGCTGGAGGGTTTCCCAGAGCCAGCTAGCCCGGCACTGCTGTGGAGCGAGCCCCTGGCTAGCTGTCAGGAGCCCAGGTTTGGAAGCCAGTTCTGCCCCCAGCAGCAGCCTTTGTAACCTTGAGCAAGCCAGTCTTTCCGTTTCTGGGTCTGAAAGAGGTGTTGGATCTGGTTCAAGATCCCTTTCCAGTTTGAAATTATGTGATTCTGTGGGAGTGGTGTTCGTGGCCCTCCACCCTGGGCTCTGGTAAGATCAAGGTGACTTGGTCACCTCCTGCTAGCCACTGCCCTGACTTTGCTCCAAGCCAAAAGCCACCTCACACCGCCCCTGACCTGAAGCCCAGACACTCTTCAGGGAAAGAGAATCTACAAGTCTTTTTGGTCACCTGGCCTAGGACTCAAGGTCAGGGTGCAGGCAGGGAGGGCAGCCTTTCTGATGTCCTGCTTCGGTGGACAGAGGAAAGGAAAGGAGTATTTATTAAATGCCCAGCAAGCAAGTCACACTGTGCTTTTTACCTCGTTTCTCATTTACTCTCCATGACTAGCATGGAGTACTAGGACACCATTTAAAGGTGAAGAAACTGAGGCTCAGAGAGGTTGAGTGACTGGCCTAAGGTCACATGACCCTAAGAGGCAGGGCCAGGGCCTAGCCCATGCACGTTTCCTCTCAGTTACTCTGTGGTGCCTTTTATTTATTTATTTATTTATTTATTTATTTATTTATTTATTTTTGAAACAGAGCCTTGCTCTATTGCCCAGGATGGAGTCCAGTGGCACGATCTCGGCTCACTGCAACCTCTGTCTCCTGGGTTCAAGCAATTCTTCTGCCTTGGCCTCCCGAACAGCTGGGACTACAGGTGCACACCACCATGCCCGGCTAATTTTTGTTTTCTGTCTTGACCTCCCAAAGGGCTGGGATTACAGGCATGAGCCATCACACCTGGCCTATTGTTTTTTTTTTAAGACCATAAGACATCATTCTGTCTGGGTTATCACTGAGGCATAGATTTGGAGGGCTAGAGAGCATCTTGGGGATGCTTCCTCCCAGCTGGTCAGCTGCCCACAACCCACCATTTGTACACCTCCCTGTACTCATTTGTACACCACACCTCATTTGCTTCCCTCTGAAGGAGCCTGTTCCTTTTTCAAGGCTTCCTGTCCCCCTGTGGAGAAGGCCTGATTCCTCCTGGCCTCCTCTTCCTGCTTCCCTGCCTCCCCCTTCTCAGCTCTCCTTTCCAGGCCTGCCTTAATCACAGGCTTCCCACCCCCTGCAGTTTCTTCCCCTTCAGTGACTCTCCACTGGCTTCCTAGGCACCAGTGGCTGGGAGCAGGCAGCGTTGACAGGCCTGGCTCTGGGTCGCTCTCTCTAGGTTACCCTGACCACATGGTGTTTTCCGAGTTCCGCCGCCGCTTTGACGTCCTGGCCCCACACTTGACCAAGAAACACGGGCGTAACTACATCGTGGTGGATGAAAGGCGGGTAGGTCCAGGTCCCCAGATCCCTCTCCCTCTGCCCAGTCCCCTCAAGCGGCTGCCCTTTCCAGACTCATCTGCCCTCCCTTCCCTGGAGACCCCGTTTGGCCCTGCTCAGGGACTCCCGGTTTTGGAAGCACCCAGCTGTGGCCTGGGGCCTGGACCTTAGGAGCTGGAGAAGAGCCACCCCTCCTTGGAAGCCTGAACTGGGGGTGTCTGCTCGCTGGTGAGCTAGACAGTCATCCAGGAGCAAGCAGGGCCTGGGCCCACTGGTGACAGATGAGAATTAGTGATTTGGGAACCCCATGAACAGCACCTGGGCCCCCAGCCTGGGCCCCCGTCCCAGGGATTGGTTCCTGAGGCAGGAAGCCATCCAGGGCTGGGTGAGCATTCCTCCTGGAAGGAAGGTGGATATGGCGAGACCTCTGTGGTACCAGGGTGAACACAGGCTGCCAGGCCCTTTGCCAGCCCTGGTTGGTGAATGCTTGGCTGCAGAAGGGGTGTCCCTGCCAGTTTGGGCCATCACCCTGAACCCCAGAGGCAGCCCCTCAGATAGTCACAGGGCTCCAGAAACAGAGGAGCCCCTCTCTCACTGTGCTCAGGCCTCAGGTACCCAGCCCAACTCTGAAAGCGCCTCAGACCTTAGGATGGCTTCCCTAAAAGGAGGGGATGCTGCAGAATGGGACAGAAAGCCCACAGAGTGCCCAGGCTGTCTCTGTGTGTGCCCCCCACCCTGACTTAAAGACCTGCATTCATGGAGGGGGCCCGGAAGCCCCTCCTTCCATCCTCTGGCCTGCCGGTGGCCTGAGCAACCTTGTGTGGATGTAGATGCCCATCCCACGCCCCCTTCTCATGGGCCCTCAGCCTCCATTCCAGCCTCTCACCTGCGGCTACACCAGCACCTTATCAGCCCTGGAAATGCCTCACCTCCGAAATCTGAAATTCCAGCATGGTTTTCTCTGATCACAGCCTCCTGCCTTCTGGTCCCACTCCCCTCTTCCCCTCAGGACACCCGCTTTCTGTCTCCATCAGGACCTCTCATTTCTGGATTGCGCTCCATTTCTCTGTCAGTTCCCCCTTTTCCATGGTTCGCTCTCTAGTCACTCAGCCTCCATCACCCTCAGCCCTCCTGAGCCTCCCATAGCTCCTGGCCTGCCAAACTCCCACCCTGAAGTGCCAGCCTTTGGGTGTCTGCACTCCTGGCTCTGGGCTCCCAAGGGTGGTGAGAGAAAATTATACAACTTTGGGGACTTGACTTCCTACAGGTTCATGGTCTTCAGCCTTTGGTGGGCCCTCAGGGGGACCAGCAAGTCTTCTAGATGTCCCTTCCTTAGCTGGCCATGACTGCAGGCTTCCTATTTGCTGTTCCATTCTCCATCTTTCTCCTCAAATCCTCCCCACCCCACCTTCCCGGCTCACCTTCCAGCAGATGCCCAGCCTCCAGATCTCAGGACATCAGGCTCCAGCTGCTTCTTCCGCGTCCTGCAAACCTCCCTGGGCCTCCATCTTCCCGCACCCCTTCTGTCTTGGTGGGAGAGGGTCCTCCTCTCGTCCAGTCCCTTGCTGCTGTGCCTTGGAGTCCATTTCCTTGGGTCTCCCCAGAGACCCGTCCCATCAGTGTCAGCTCACTTCTATCTCTATTTCCTCTGGTGTCTCCTCTCCTGGCCCTTTTCCCTCCATGGAGAAGCTCCCCACAAACCTGCAGGCCTTCCTCTCTGGAGGGAGCCTCTGTCACCTGTGTCATCATCCCCCTGGACTGTGCTCTGCCTCCCGCCTACTCTGGGCTTCCCTCCTGCTGCCCCCACTGCCCATGGCTGCCTGGTCCCCCTCCCTGAGGCCCTGGCACATGCCTTCTCATCCCCCACACCTTCCATATTGCCAGAGCCAATGAGCACTTTTCTATCCCTTTGTTACTTGAATTCTTAGCAGCATGGGGCTCCATTCTTTCTGACACATTCTCTGCTGGGCCTCTGCTGCCACTCCTGGTTTCCCCCCTGACTCTGTTCTCACTCCCTCTGAGCTTCTCTTTTCCACTTGCCCCTGAAGTAAAGATGTCTCTTTCTCAGAACTCTCTCCTTTTCCATATGTATTTTCTATTCTGCACCCTCTTGCTGGGCAACCTCATTCACACTCATCATTTCAATTACCGCATATATATTGATGACTCCCAAATCAATACCTCTAGCCCAGGTCTCTCTCCTGAGCTCCAGACATGCATTTCTGTCTGGCTGCCTTCTAGACTTCTCTACCTCTATGCCTTATGGCATCTCAGACTCGGCTTGTTCAAACCAAACCCATTCTCCCTCCCCCGAAGCTGCCTCTTTCTCTTATATTCCCTACTTTAGGGAATGGCACCATTATCTGCTTAGTTATGTAAATCGGAAATCTCAGTATAGCTCTGGATTTCTCCTCACGTACCTTCCCCCTGTATCCGGCACGGCTCTGTCTCCTTAACACCTGCTGCATGCTCTCCTCCTCTCTTCCCCTTGGGCCAGGCTTTAGCCTCCCTTCCTGTGGATTACTGCTGAAGTGGGGTGGGTCTCCATCCATCTACCCATTTGCCAGTGAGATCTCTACCAGTGCAGACCTGGTCATGCCCATCCCGGAGAGGACCCTCCAGAGGCCCCCGAAGCGCACAGGGCTCCACGTGCTTCAGCTCCTGCCCCTCTCTAGTTGCACCTTAACTACCCACCCCCCCATCTCAGTTCCGATGAGTGACTTGGAGTTTCCTCAGTGTGTTTTGCTGTCTTGTGCTCCTAGGCCTTTGGGTACACTGATTCCTCTCCCTGAAATGTCCTCTCCTCTACTTTGTCCAGCTAATTCTCACTTGCATCGAAATTTCTCACACAAACAAGACCCGCCTGAGTTGCCTTGCACATGCCCTGGTCTGACGTAGGTGCCACCTTCTCTGGGTACTGCACGAGTTCACTGGTCTTGCTCCCCAGCAAGACGGTGCATTTCTCTTGTAGTCATCTCTGTGTCCCCAGAGTCCAACCCAGGGCCTGACACTGAGGAAGCCCACCCAAGTGCATGAAGAACTTCCCCTCCCTCCTTCTAGATTGTCTAGGAGGAGGGAGGGGAAGGGCTGAGAGCCTGGAGGAAGCCGTGCATGGCGAGGGGTGGCCCAGGCGGGCTGACAGAGGCCTTTTTCCACAGGCAGTGGAGGAGCTGTTAGAGTGCTTGGATCTGGAGAAGAGCAGCTGCTGCATGGGCCTGAGCCGGGTGAGTTGCCCTGCAGGAGGGCAGTAGCCTCACTGTCCAGCGCCCCGTCCGTCAGGTGGCTGACCCGCTCCTCCTGTTCTCCCTGCTCAGCCAGACATCACCAGTCTCCTGGTGTCCCTCTGAATCCTGCCACCAACTCCACCCCACCCTGCCACTCAGGGGCTGCCCCCTTTGGGGCCAGGGGCCAGGGAGCTAGAAGTTTCAGATGCAGCAACCTGGCTTTCCTTCCTTCTGGATGACTGGCTTATTCAGTCCCAGGAACGCCTCTGTGATGTCGGGAGAGAGCAGGTGGAAGGTGGCCCTGAACTTGCCTCAGGTCCTGGTGTGGGGAGTCAGGAGACCTGGACCCAGAGGATGTGGGCTGGAAGAGGCGGGAAGGCCATGGGTAGAGCCCCTGTGGAGAGTTGTCTGGGGCTGCTGGGTTCCAGAGAGTAAGCAGGGCACGGTAAGGCTATGCCGCCACCACCTGCCTACAGACCGAATTCCTCATCTGAATGGAACGCCAGGAGTAAAAGGCAGGCACACCCACCCATGGGTGCCAGTCTGCCACGTCACTCCTCACCAAAGGGTCAGCTGAGCATTCCTCCCATGGGTAGGGAGCCCTGCACACCCCTCTCTTTCGAGCCTGGGAACCTGGACAGGCGGCATCTGCACATGTGCCCCAGGGCCGGGGCGGAAGGGAGGCCAGTGGGGGTTCTGGACCCGCTGTCTGCTGGTAGAGAGGGAAGGAACTCTGAGTCGCAGGGCCCCATGGGGTGTGTGCAGGGGAAGGAGGTACTTGCAGAGGTTTGAGTCTCACTTGTCCTGTGTCCTTGGTCCTCCTCTTGGCTCTGCATGTTGAGTCGCTTTCCTGGCTCCTCCCACCCTCCCTGTCATTCACTCCCATCTGTATGTCTGCCTCTTCCCATCTTTGCTTCTGCTGTCCCTGGCTTTCCCTTTGGCCCCAGCAGTCCCTGCTGGTCTCTATTGCTTGGTTTCTCGTTCTGTGTTTTTCTGTTTCTCTGTACCTTTGTGTCCCATCCTCTTTCTGTGTCATTTTCTGGTTTATGTCACTGCTTTGTCTATCTCTGCGTCTGGCTCAGCTCTTTTCTCTCTGTCTGTTCCCCTCCCTTGCTGCTTTAAGCCATCTGCAGTTAGGGGTTTGCTTCAGCCGCAGGGTCTATCCCAGCATCTACTCACACTGGTCTTTCCCTCCAGGTTCCTGCCTCTCAAGCAGGCCGAGCCGCTGCTGGCTGCCACTGGGGATGGCACCTCCTCCAGGCTATGCCTGGGTTCCCAGGCCTATCTCTGACAGGAAAGGGCCTGTGCAGGCCGATTCTCTTCCCAGCTGCTACCTCAGACCTTCTGTCGTCCTGAGCCATGCCAGGTGCCCAGCTGAGGCAGGCAGGCCCCAGGGCCCAGTGTCACTCCAGGGCAGAGCTGGGCCAACATTGGGCGCCTGCTCACATCTAGTTTGGGAAAGAAAGCTCAGGTCATCTAGGCTCTGGTTAGCACTGACTCGTGAGCATGGATTCTACGTGTGTCACATTGCTTCAGAGAGGAGGGGGTCTTCATCTGAGTGATGGGACCCTGAGAGTTTCAATAAGGACTTTGGGGAATCAGAGCCTCCTGACATTATAAAATTTGTATGAATGTGTATTTTGGGGAAGAGATGGCCTAAGCTTTCACCCCGAACCCAAAAGGACCCTTAACCCCACAAATGTTCAAGAGAGATTTGAGGCTTGCTGCTTTGGCCTCTAGACCATTCTGTCTCTTCTCACTGTGTCTCTGGGCCATTCTCCAACCCCAACTCCAGCACCTCAGTTCTGCTCTGGGCAGGTGGCGATAGGTACTAACCAAGTGCATTTGCTGTCCCCCCGTGGAACCTGGATATTCCTTACCCCCAGTGGGATTCTGGGCTTGCACATTATATGAAATTAAGCAGCTGGGGGCCAGGCGTGGTGGCTCACGCCTACAGTCCTAGCACTTTGAGAGGCCAAGGTGGGCGGATTGCCTGAGCTCATGAGTTTGAGACCACCATGGGCAACATGGTAAAACCCCGTCTCCACTGAAATGCAAAAAATTAGCTGGGCATGGTGATGGGTGCCTGTAGTCCCCAGCTACTCAGGAGGCAGAGACATGAGAATCACTCAAACCCAGGAGGCAAAGGTTACAGTGAGCAGAGATTGCACCACTGCACTCCAGCCTGGCAACAGAGCGAGACTGTCTCCAAAAAAAAAAAGAAAGAAATTGAACGGCCAGGCATGACAGCTCACACCTGTAATCTCAGCACTTTGGGAGGCTGAGGCAGGAGGATCACATAATGCCCGAAGTTCAAAACCACCCTGAGCAACATAGGGAGACCCATCTTAACTGGGCATGGTGGTGCACACCTGTAGTCCCAGCTACTGGGGATGGCTTAAGCCTGGGAGGTGGAGGCTGCAGTAAGCCACGATCACACCACTTTACTCCAGCCTGGGTGACAGAGCAGGACTGTTCAAAAAAATTTTAAAGAAAAGAAAATAAATTGAAGCTCAGGTAGAAACTAAGACCCACGGGAGACCTCATGTTCGATGGTGGGATTTAGGGAATTGTCACAAAGGACTGAGCTGGCCTTTTCCAAGGCCAGCCTCAGGGGACCAAGTTTCTTTGGAGTTGCCAGAGGCAGAGCTTTTTCTCAGCAAAAAGTTTAAGCCTTCCCTTTGGATCTTTGCTGAAGGGGGCCTTGGGATAGTGTGCCTATTGGCTCTGAGTGCATTTATGTAACCTGTGTTTCCCATCATGTTCACATCTTCTCTTTTCCCTACAAAAAGAAATTTTCTGTGTTCTGTGCCAGATGGAGGTAGGCATATACATAGGTGTCTGTGCCCACTCTCATGGATACAGAGTCATTTTTTCACCTAACCCTTCCAGATTCACACACACTTCTCTTTGTGGTGTGTGGCAAATTTTACCAAGTCCTATCTCAGAGCAGCACAGAGTGTAAGGAAAGGCCCGGTGTGGGGGCGCCCAGCTGGTTCCGCACATGCCTGCCCTCCAGCCCCCAAACCTGTATGACAGGTCCTTCGGCTGGGCCAACCCCCGCCCGCCTCACTGGCTTCTTCATGAGAAGGTGAAACCTGGGTGTGTGTTGGGGGGTGGCACATGAAAGAGGAAACCGTCTGAAATGAGACTAGCAGGGAGCAGGAGAAGGCAGGAGCCTCCCGCCACCCCCCTTCCTGCTCTCCCCCTCTTCCTCCGCACTACTCAGTGCTGCTTCTCACACAGACATCTGCCAGCATCCACTTCACCTGATCCCAGCAGTCGGGAGTCAGAGGGGGCTGGAGCCCAGGTTGGGCCCTGCAGTGGGCTGGGGGCACAGGGGCACTGACAGGGTTGCTGGCAGTCCTGGGTAACGAAGCCCTCACAGATGTGGCAGGACGCTCCCTCCCTGTTTGACCAGTGACTGCTCCATATCCTTGCTTGCCCCAGGTATCTTCCCTTTACCTTCCCTCACCTTTTCTCTCTTTGAAGTTAAATTTCCCATCTTACTCCTTGCCTGCAAAAACCTCCCCAGTCCCTTCTCCCTCAACCTTCCCAGGGCCTCTTCCTGCTCCTCCCCTCCTCTCGGACAATTGGATTTTGAGGCTCTTCCCAAGCCAAGGGCTGCACTCCCTGACCTGCTTGTTTCTCCAGCTCCCCGCCTTCCCTCCCTTTCCTCTGCTGGGCCGGTCCCCTCTCCTGCCTTCACCTAGCCTGCTCTTCCACAGGTTTTCTTCCGGGTGGGCACCTTGGCACGGCTAGAGGAGCAGCGGGATGAACAAACCAGCAGGAACCTAACCCTGTTCCAAGCAGCCTGCAGGGGCTACCTGGCCCGCCAGCACTTCAAGAAGAGAAAGGTGCTGCTCTAGGGACATCCCCTCCCCCTCCCAGCCTAGATGGGCACAGCCAAGTTCCTGGGGTAGAGACTATAAGGGGGAGAAGAGGCAGGAATCTCCCAGGGCACCATGCCCTGGGCCAGGGTGGGAAACAGGCAGCTCCCTGGTGCCAGCAAGTATGCTGGTGTGCCCAGTGACAGGGCCTGGTTGGAGGGCTTTGTTGAGGGGTAGGGGGAAGCGGGGCCGAGGCAAAGGTGGGTTCTGGATCATAGGCTGCTCCACGAAGATTAAGGAGCTGTGTCAGCGACTCCTTTTCTTATTAGCAAGTCCATAAAACAGCCAGCACTGCCGCCTCTTGTGTTTCAGCAAGATTAGGTTTTATAGCACAGCTAGGCCAGGGTGCTGGAAATAATCAGGCAGCAAATAAAGCAGATGAAATGATTCCTAATGGCAGCGGAGTGGCTAGTGCCCAGCGCAGTGCTCTCAGGGTTGGGGTCTGCGCTGCCCACCCTCTGAGGGAAGGAGGGAGCCTGGGGCAAGGGGGGAGCATGGAAGGTATCTGACTGGGGGTCAGCGTACCAGAGGAGCAGCCCTGGGGGCCTGTGCTGGTGATGGGGAGGACTCTGGGCCAAGCTTGGCCAGGGTGACTGAGAGCTCCCCTGTGTGCTGCCCCCACCTCACCTGCAGATCCAGGACCTGGCCATTCGCTGTGTACAGAAGAACATCAGGAAGAACAAAGGGGTGAAGGATTGGCCCTGGTGGAAGCTCTTTACCACAGTGAGGCCCCTCATCGAAGTACAGCTGTCAGAGGAGCAGATCCGGAACAAAGACGTATGTGACAGCCTGGGAGGGCAAGTCTCTGGGAGGGAAGAGCCTTGCCAGTTTATCTTGGGCTTCTAAGTGCTTCTTCATTTAGTCCAGAGAGCTGGCATCCTTGAACTGTGCCCATCAAACAGAAGATGTCCCTCTGGGGCGCTGGCTGAGCCCCTGGGCAGCCTCTTATGATCAAATCTTGGACATCCCCAGCTTAGTGGGAAGGGTCTAGGGACAGGATCCCTGGGAGGCTGTGGCTCTGCTCTTGGGTACATGCCTCCCCCATGATGTCCTGGCCCAAGCATCATCAGCTTTGTTCACTATAGGGGTGCAGACCCAGGGCCCCGGCCCCTCGCAGTGCCTTTGGCTCATTCTGCCCTCTTCGGTTCACCCTAGGAGGAGATTCAGCAGCTGCGGAGCAAGCTCGAGAAAGTGGAGAAGGAGCGGAACGAGCTGCGGCTCAATAGTGACCGGCTGGAGACCCGGGTGAGTGACTCCCGGCACCACACAGACTGGCCATGGCCTCAGGGAGACCCAGCCCCGCTCTCTTGGGTGTTTTGGCTGAGTGAGGCAGGCACTTCAACTGGTGGTGACTCCCCAACCCCAGATCTCCGAGCTGACATCGGAGCTGACGGATGAGCGTAACACAGGAGAGTCTGCCTCCCAGCTGCTGGACACGGAGACGGCGGAGAGGCTCCGGGCTGAGAAGGAGATGAAGGAGCTGCAGGTGAGAGCAGGGCCCAGGTGAGGATGGCAGGCTGGTGACTGTCACACCCTAGTGCCCATCAGCTCCCCCCAAAGACACTTGACATCTTCACCCCTAGCCCAGCATCCCTGTCTGTCCTGGGTAAGCATGTGACCATGGTCTGTGTGGTTTGGGGAGTAGGTATGAGGGGGCGAAATGGCACACCCCATAATGCCGTCTTTTGCAGACCCAGTACGATGCACTGAAGAAGCAGATGGAGGTGATGGAAATGGAGGTGATGGAGGCCCGTCTCATCCGGGCAGCGGAGATCAACGGGGAAGTGGATGACGATGATGCAGGTGGGCCCGAGGCCCAAGGAGCTTAGCAGTGGCTTGTGATGCGAGGCCTGTTGCCTACCTCTGGATGGTCATGCCCCTTATCCAGGCCTGTCTCCCCTCTATAGGGCTGTTATGAGACTAAAGTGAAAGAAATAGATGAGGAGGCAGAGATGCCAGTAAATGGAGGGGATTGTTATGTAGAGCTGAAACAGCCACGGTCATGACAAAGACTGAAGGCCATGGTCCCAGCAGTCCCTGGCAAGGGGACAGCACATGCAGCCCCATCTCCCACTCTGGTCTTCTCCTGGCTAGTGGCTCTTTCTGCCTTGGAAGGAAGCCATCATTGCAGAGAGCGTTCTGAGCCTCGGCTGACTCTTCCTGCTGCCCCTCCCCGCCATCCTCCTTCCCCACTGCCCCTTATGTGGACTCTCAGCACCCTCATCCTCCCTTGTCTGCCTCAACCCCACAGGTGGTGAGTGGCGGCTGAAGTATGAGCGGGCTGTGCGGGAGGTGGACTTCACCAAGAAGAGGCTCCAGCAGGAGTTTGAGGACAAGCTGGAAGTGGAGCAGCAGAACAAGAGGCAGCTGGAGCGGCGGGTGAGGCCGGGGAGGAGCCGAGGCCTGTACGTGGGAGAGCCAGGAGGGGACTGGTGCCTTGTGTTGGTCCAGTGAATGCTGGGGCCAGGCAGGCTTGGCCTGGGATGGATCGGGGAGGCTGGCATGTTAGCTTCTCCATGCAGGAGCAATCAGGAGCAAGCTATCATCAGAGCTTCTTCAGTTCCCTGAGAGACCCAACTTCCTCCTGCACCCCTGGGTCTTCCCCTCACTCACCCACCTCCCTCCTCGCCTTCTCCGCCAATGCTTCTGGGCCTCTCCGTGGCCACTGACTGTGCACCCCATCTTGGTCCCTAGCTTGGGGACCTGCAGGCAGATAGTGAGGAGAGCCAGCGGGCTCTGCAGCAGCTCAAGAAGAAGTGCCAGCGGCTGACGGCTGAGCTGCAGGACACCAAGCTGCACCTGGAGGGCCAGCAGGTCCGCAACCACGAGTTGGAGAAGAAGCAGAGGAGGTGGGTGGGCCCCTGCCCTGGGCCCAGAGAACCTTCTGGAGCAACCAAAGCCAGGACAGCCTCCTTGCCCTCCAGAGAGGAAAAAAGGAAGGATCTGAATTTGTCCAGGGGTCTTGCCTGCCTCATCATTCATCTTGGAACATGAAGGGGCCCCCTCCTGACCTCCAGGGTACACTCAGGCTGTGTCCCCACTGAAGGCCTGCCCAGGCCTCAGCTCTTGGAGGTGCTCCCTGCACCATGTGCCTGTCACCCCGTGCCAGGAAGGGCATCAACCAGGACCCATGCAGGAACCGCTGCGTCCCTGCCCCTGGCCCCCAGCTCTGCCTCTCCCTCACTTGCCTTAGCTATACAAACACACTCTCCTGACTAATGTCATTAAACTACCGTGCCACTTCCATCTCATTATGGTAATGATACAAAGGAGGGGGGTGGCCCTCACAGGAGAAAATCCAATCTAAATTAATTTCCTGGGCTGGGAATGAGGATGGGACGCCTTTATTAGCAGCACTGAGGAACCCACACACCCTAGGAACAGCAGGGCACCCCAGGGAGTGGGAACAGTGCCCGTTTCTCCTCTGCAGGGGAAGGGTTTCTCAGCAGAGGCACCGGTTGCCTTTGTGAAGGGGCATCCCCACACCTAGGACCCTGGGAGTGAAGATGGCAGAACAGAGCCTTTCCAGTGACCCTGGGTTACCCCTGGCCTCCTGAACCCCCACCATCTCCCCAGCTGGGAAAATAGGAAGGTTTTCCATTCCTCCCACCCAATACCATGACCACCACTTTCCTCGTTCTCATCTCTGCCCCTACCCACCCCTTTACCCAAGGGCTGGCACCCTTAGCTCAATCCCCCTTCTGAGCCCCCGATGGTAATACCAGCTCAGCCTAGTTACTGTGCTGCCATGCTTTCCACTGGGCAACTTATTAGGTTTTGGCTGCCCGGGGTTTTTTTTTTTTTTTTTTTTTTTGATGTGGGGTTGGGGTAAGGGGAGCTGTTCAATTTCCACAGGAACCTAATTAGCTATTCAGGGAAGGTGTTAAGAGGAATTTCAGCAATTTGCTCCATATTTAGCAGGAAATGGAAGGCTGGGAAGTGGAGGAGTGAAGAAAGAGGCCCCCCTGTGTGCCCATCGAGGCATGTGGCCAGCTGGGCACAGTGGGAATGCCAGCTCTGAACCCAGTGTGGGGTTTCCTGGTGGTGTCCTGCCAGCACCGCTGGGGTGTGTGGTCCTGGCCAAAGGCTGGTGCCCAGAGGCAGGGGCAAGGAGCTGGTTGCCGCCCTTACAGTTGCCAAACTGAATTGTGGAAAGTGAGTTAGTAGAAGCAGGGTGCTCATCTCTACCTTCTTCCCACCCAGCCCTCGCATGGGTCCCTCATTCTTTGATGTGTTGAAATGGAGAATGTAGAGACTTAACTCTTGAGGGGGCCTGTTCCCCTGCCTGGAAGCAGTCTATGGGTCTCTCCTAGGCCTACTTGGTGAAGGGCTCACCTATTTGAGTGCTCCCCATCCCAAACCCGGTTGCTCAATAGTGCCTCAGTGGCCTGACCTGCCACCTCTAGATGTCACCCCTACCTCACCACTGGCCCCACGTTAGGGCTGCATGGGTTCCCCCACCCCTGCTTGGGTCCTGTCCATGGCACGACCTCCTGACAGTCTCTGTGCGGGGGACCCCGGCTCTTCCCCCATCTGATGGAGACACCACGCTCCCTCACAGGTTTGACAGTGAGCTCTCGCAGGCGCACGAGGAGGCCCAGCGGGAGAAGCTGCAGCGGGAGAAGCTGCAGCGGGAGAAGGACATGCTCCTCGCTGAGGCTTTCAGCCTGAAGCAGCAACTGGAGGTGGGTAGGGCCACCCACCATCTGTGCCCTGTCCCCCTCGCAATCTGGGGCCAGCCCTGCACCCGCCTCATCTCTTTTGCTCCAGGAAAAAGACATGGACATTGCAGGGTTCACCCAGAAGGTTGTCTCCCTAGAGGCGGAGCTCCAGGACATTTCTTCCCAAGAGTCCAAGGATGAGGCCTCTCTGGCCAAGGTCAAGAAACAGCTCCGGGACCTAGAGGCGAAGGTCAAGGATCAGGAAGAGGAGCTGGATGAGCAGGCAGGGACCATTCAGATGCTGGAGCAGGTACAGGAGGGCTTGGCCAAGGGAGGGGTGAGGTGCAGTGGGGCCGCCACCATCCCCACAGCCAGACCCAGGCACGGGCCAGAGGATCCCGCCCCTATTCATTCCAGTGTTCACTCGCTCACCTACTCACAAAATGTGGAGTGAGCACCTCATCTGTGCCAGCCACAGTGTGAAGACAATTAAGTGCTCGTGGAGCTTTCCACAAAAACAAATCTGATGGAGCTCTAGTAGGGAGGGGCTCAGGATGCATGGCAGCCGAGGGCCACAGGCCCACCCAGCCTGCCACCAAGCCACCAAGTTAGTTCAGGGAGCTAGAGCCTGCAGGCAGACGGAGAAGCTGCAGGGCTGTCCCCACTCCAGCTGCCTCTCTCTGGGCCTATGCTAGACCTCTAGTAAGGGAGTTCAGCTGCTCTAGAGAAGCTGTTGCCATGGGAGCAAGGTGCCGGCAAAGAGAACTGGTTGGCAGGACGTTCTCGACCCCTGAGCCTAGCGAGTCATGCACAGGTGGGGAGCGGGTGGGCGCTACTGAGGAGGGAACCCAGACCCTACTCCACTACCTCCAGGCCAAGTTGCGTCTGGAGATGGAGATGGAGCGGATGAGACAGACCCATTCTAAGGAGATGGAGAGTCGGGATGAGGAGGTGGAGGAGGCCCGGCAGTCATGTCAGAAGAAGGTAAGGTATCTGGGTACTTACCTGTCCAGCGTAACTGCCTGTTCCCATCACTGCTTTTTAGTCAGGGGCTTTTCTGTCTCCCTGCCTCAGCCACATTGTCTTCCTTTGTCATTCTGGGCCAGGAAGTGCCTCTCTGGATCCTGGCATTGGCAGGGAGGTATTGGCTCAGAGTCTGTAGAGAAACTTGAGACCCTGAGGAACTAATGCTCCCTGCTTTCTGTGCCAGGGGCAGCCCCCCATGGCCCTGCTGTGCTGCGCTGGTGCTGCCTGCAGTCAGCTAGCCTGGCCGGACAGGTCTCCACTGGGCAGCGATGTCTCCTACTCTGGCTCAGGTAGCCACCACATGTGGCCTGCCATCCCTCCTCGTCCCTCCCAGGCTGCTTTGAAACCCTAGAAACCTGGAATTTAGGTTCTGACTCCTCCATCAATATCATTGTGCTCAGGTCTGCCCCACTGTTTTCCTGGAGTGGGGGACCCAGAACAGAAGGGGCCTGCTTGGCACCAGGCACTAAAGGGACGGATGGGTCTCTGTCCCCACGGTACTCCAGTTAAAACAGATGGAAGTGCAGCTGGAGGAAGAGTATGAGGACAAGCAGAAGGTGCTGCGAGAGAAGCGGGAGCTGGAGGGCAAGCTCGCCACCCTCAGCGACCAGGTCAGGGGACGCTCCACCTGCCAAGCCTGGCCGGCTGCCTGCCCATGCAGCCTGATGGGTGGGGATCCTAGGAATGGGGAGCTGGGAACAGAGCTGCCAGTGGAATGGGGGTGCTCCAAAGAGCCCATCGTCATCCCTCATGGAATGGGGCATCACCATATGTTGGCACACCCAGGCCTTTCTCCTTGGTTAGCATGATCCTGGCTCTTCCAGGATCCTTATGGGGATGCTGATAATGAGGATGTGGTGAGGAGGGGGTTGGGGAAGACAGGAGGAGGCCGTGTGCTGGTGCCCAGAACCCCAACTGCTGGTGCCACCCAGGTGAACCGGCGGGACTTTGAGTCAGAGAAGCGGCTGCGGAAGGACCTGAAGCGCACCAAGGCCCTGCTCGCGGATGCCCAGCTCATGCTGGACCACCTGAAGAACAGTGCTCCCAGCAAGCGGGAGATCGCCCAGCTCAAGAACCAGGTATCTAGAGAGCACTGGCGCAGCAGAGCTTACCTTTTCCATTCTCTTTCTCTCTCTTGCTCCTCTCAGTGGCTCTTGAGTCCTTGGGAAGGAAAGTGACAGGAAAGAGGGGAGCCACATGTAGCAGCCAGACTCCCCAGGCTCTGTGTGTGTCTACTGTCTCACCACCCAGACCGGGGTGGTATGGATGGGGCCTGGTGCCCCACCAGCCCTGTGACAGGAGGAGATGTCCATGCATGCACCACCACACACCCATGGCCCTGGGGTCTGAAGTGAATGGAGGAGGAGGAGGAGGAGGGCATCTGGGCTCCCTTTTCTCTGCACAGCCCTCCTGTGCCCAGGGAATGGCTGACATCTCTCCCTGGGGTGGGGGTGGTCTGTCTCCAGCTGGAGGAGTCAGAGTTCACCTGTGCAGCAGCTGTGAAAGCACGGAAAGCAATGGAAGTGGAGATCGAAGACCTGCACCTGCAGATTGATGACATCGCCAAAGCCAAGACTGCGGTGAGGGACCAGGGTGCCTGGGGCAGGGCTCAGGGGGCTGAGGCAAAATAGAGCTGCGACTGTGGCTCCCTTCACCCCAGATAGGTCCCTCCACACCAGGACTTGCTGCAGGAAGAGCAGGCCTCCCCTCCTCTGCATCTCCCCACTCTGAGCAGAGGCCTCAGGGAGGAACCGGTGGAAGAGGGAGCCAGCAAAGGCCCATCTCCCTGTTTAACCACCTGCCTGCAGGAGCTTGGCCGCAGGCCCCAACACCATAAATAAAGGCAGCTAATGTGGCTGAGGGATGTAAACAGGTGCCTAGAGATTAGCAGAAGCACCGATAACAGGACAGGATGGCTCGGCTTCCCTCCCCTTCCCCCTGCCCAGCCCACTGACAAGCCCAAGCGGCAGCTAATTACAGCTCTTATTTAATGCCTCCCTTTTAATTCCCCACCTCTCCCACGGCCCATCCATCGGCAGAGAATTCATTACTGGGATGCGGCCACCAATACCTCCTTGGGCAGGGAATGGGACAGGGGAGGAGGCTAGGCTGGGCTGGTGGCTTCGTGGCCCCTGAGCTAGTCACCTGGCTGCTGAGAGATGCCAATCTCACAGGCATGATTTATCCCCGTGACATTTGTGCTCCTCAGCAGTTTTCAGGTGAGTAATTCAAATTCCTTAATTGTGTTAAAAAAGGCTGTTATAAAATTACCATTTTATTTAAATCTGAGTTAATAAATTTCTTGGCGGAGGCTTCCCCAGCTCCCCACAGCCCAGTAACAAGATGGATGGGGCAGAGAAGGAGCCAACACAGTCATTTTGGTTGGAATTACAGGCTAATAGATTCATTCATTTCCTGAAGCTGCTGTTGGCTCTCTCTTCCCCTCCCCCAAGGAGGGGACTGGCTGTGGAGGCTGGATGCCCAGGGAGTGGGCAGTCCCAAGGGAAATGACAATCTAAGCCAGGAGACCTTCACAGATTTAAGGGGTCCTTCCCTGGGGCCTGAAGAGGGCAGAGTACATGCAGGTCAGGGCCTGGACTGATAGTGCCAGGATGATGGGTCATTTGTTCTGGGCAGACCTTTTCTGCCTTCTCATTAGCCTCAAAAGAGCTGCCAGGAAGCAGCTGTCATTCAGCTCAGAGGCCCAGGGTCTGCCTACACTGCACACAGCCCTTTACCTCATCTCCCTGGCCCAGAGCAGGGCAGGCAGCTCCCTGAGAGTCACTGGTCCTAGGACCCACTCCAGTGGGCAGGCTTAGCCCATTATCATCATCTCTTCTATGCCCCCGCCATTGGAGGTGGCACAGGAGGAGGCTTGGACTTGCCACCTGGAGCCCACAGGCACACCGGGCTTGAGGCCCTCTGATCTGCCTTTGCCTCTGTCCAGCTGGAGGAGCAGCTGAGCCGCCTTCAGCGTGAGAAGAATGAGATACAGAACCGGCTGGAGGAGGATCAGGAAGACATGAACGAGCTGATGAAGAAGCACAAGGCCGCCGTGGCTCAGGTACCCCTGCCGGGAGTGCCCCTCACACTCTGCACCGTCACCATCCTTCTGGTCTTCCTCATGGGTCTCCCACACAGCCACTTGTTTTGGGAGGTGACGGTGCAGGAACCTGGGTCCCCTGGTGTTCCAGCTGGGCTGAGCTAGCTGGATGTTTATGGGGGATCCTGCTTCTGATGCTCTCACCCCTTTCCCAGGCTTCTCGGGACCTGGCTCAGATAAATGATCTCCAGGCTCAGCTAGAAGAGGCCAACAAAGAGAAGCAAGAGCTGCAGGAGAAGGTGAGGACCAGGGGCTCCCTCAGGAGAGAGAGGGTGCCAGGGTTACTACATGTGGGAGGAACCCCCAAGTTCACAATTTAGAAGGTGCTTTTCTCTGCTATCAGTAATCCACAGAGCAGAGTAAGCTAGGAGCAAGAGCTAGGCTTGGAGCCATGTCACCATAGCAGACATTTGGGCTTCAGCTGCCTCACTTCCCATCTCTATTCCCTCTCCGGTCCTTAGCTTTCTCCTTTCTCTCCGAAGGGCAAGATCTGTGCCAAGCGCTGGGGCAGATGGGGGAGGCCTCTGGCTTGGGGCCCCATTCTCTTTCCTCCCCAGTGCATCCCTCCCTCCCTTTGCCTTCTGGTCACCATGGTGATATTGCCTGCCCCAGATGCAGCCTCCTCCCTTTCTGGGCTCAGCTCTTTCTTCTCTTCCTGCCCCTGACCTCTAGCTGCAAGCCCTCCAGAGCCAGGTGGAGTTCCTGGAGCAGTCCATGGTGGACAAGTCCCTGGTGAGCAGGCAGGAAGCCAAGATACGGGAGCTGGAGACACGCCTGGAGTTTGAAAGGACGCAAGTGAAACGGCTGGAGGTGGGTTCCCACTTCTCTCAGGCCGCACCAAGCCGGGCAGAGCTGCCCCAGCGCTGGAGCCACGCATGCTCAGCAGGGCTGGGCAAATCCCTGGACACTCCTCAGAGGCTTGTGCCTCACTGCCAGGCCAGCTGACGGGCGGGTGCTTCTCTCTCACTCTGCCTGGCCTGCTCTCTGGGTACCGTGGAGCCGGCCTGCTTTACATTCTGTTTCCGTGCTTGCTTTCTGCCAAGGGACCAGAGCAGCTTAGCTCTTCGTCTTCATATTTTCCTCCACCACGAGCTCCCCCCGCCTGTTCCCCTCAACCGGCTCTCTGGCAGGGTCATAAATATGCAGCGGATGGTGCCACTTCTGTGCAGACTGGAGCTTCCTCTCTCCTCTGCCCTTCCCTGCTTTATTCCCTTTCTTCCTCACTTCTTCCTGCCCTCCTGTCTCTGCTTTTTCTCTCTGTCTTCCTTTTTCTTGATTATGGCCCTATTCTTTCTTCTCCCTTCATATTTTTTCCTCTTCCCAATCTTATTTCTCTTTCTCACCCTCTTCTCATCCCATTCTCCTCACCCCTTATTATAAAGTTCATACTATTTTTTTTTGTTTGAGACAGTGTCTCGCTCTGTTGCCCAGTCAGTCTCTAGTGCAGTGATATGATCATGGCTTACTGTAGCCTCGACCTCCTGGGCTCTAGCAATCAATCCTCCCATCCTCCTGCCTCAGCCTTCTGTGTAGCTGGGACCACGGGCATGTGCCACCATGCCTGGCTAATTTTTGTATTTTTTGTAGAGACAGGGTTTTGCTTGTTCTCCAGGCTGGTCTCGAACTCCTAGGCTCAAGCAATCCGCCTGCCTCAGCCTCCCAAAGTGCTGGGATTACAGGCATGAGTCACCAAGCCAGACCCTATTTTTCTCTCTCTTTCCTTTAATCCTTCTCCTTTTTTGTTCACCTTTTCTCTATCTTTTTATCCTCTTTCCTCCCAACTGGAGTTTCCATATTCCAAATTCAATCCTTTTTCTTTTCTTTTTTTTTTTTTTTTTTTTTGAGACAAGGTCTCACTCTCACCCAGGCTGGAGTGCAGTGGTATAACATCAGCTCACTGCAATCTCCACCTCCCAGGCTCAAGCAGTCTTCCCATCCCAGCCTCCTAAGTAGCCGGGACTACAGGCACATGCCACCATACCCAGCAAATTTTTGTATTTTTTGTAGAGATGGGGTTTCACCATGTTTTCCTGGCTGGTCTCAAACTCCTGGGCTCAAGCAATCCACCTGCCTCAGGCTCCCAAAGTGCTGAGATTACAGGCGTGAGCCACCATGCTGGACCAATCCTTTTTCTTTTGGTCTCCAAAGCCAGCATGGGCCAGCACCTTCCATCTCTGGCAGAGCAGATAGCAAGAGAGAGGCAGAAAGGATTCTCTCCTGGGTTTACACCCGTCTCACCTTATTTTTAAGTTCTTGAGTTTTTAAGCATTTGTCTCCACACCTTCGGTTCTGCCTGGGCCCTGTGTTGATGAGTGTGGTTGATGAGGGGCAGCCCTACCACCTCCTTCATCAACTCCCAGTCCATGGAGCAGGCACTTAAGGTAGGGATGGAAACAGGTGGGCATCTAGAGGGCATTAATAACCTGGAGACAGGAAGAGAGCACAACTGACCCTCCCAAGGTAGGGTCACAGTCCTCAGGAGAGCTGGAGAGAGTTGGGGGAAACTTAAGAGTTTATTTACTGCCCACACCAACCCCAGGCTGGCTAATAATATTTTGATCCCTATTTTACATACAGGAAGGGTTACCCAAGGTCACAGAGCTATCAAGAGACAGAGAGGCCATTGGTCTGATGGACACAGGGCAGGCCCACAGGATCTGTCTCCTTTTCTCTTGAGCCTAGTCCCTTTCTGCACCTCTATCTCTCAGGTTCCCTTCTGCTCAGAGAGTTTTGTGGTTTAGACCCATAGGATATTAAACATGAATGGCCCAATCCTGCAGCCTGGCTCTGTTATTTTAGGGACATAGAGGCTAGAGGCCCAGTCAGAGGTAGAACCAGGGTTACAAGCAGATGCAGGATTCTTTGCTCACATTCAACCCCTCTCTCCAGGTCATTTCTTGCTCCGCATCCCACTACCTGGTGGGAGATTTATTAGGCTTAGAAAGATGCTCTCTGCTTGGAATCTGATGATTGTTTAGTCTCTCCTAATCCAGAACTCCAGTAAAGCCATTTAGCTCTGAGCACAGGATCTAGCATTTGGGGCCTCTGGGTTCAGAGTCCCTGTGGGAAGCCCTACTGACCTCAGAGGACTCTACATGCCATGTCAATACGGACAGGCCCACTAGGCTGTACCCAGAACACTCCCTCAGTCTTGGTGTAGTAATGATGATAATAGCACCTTTCATCTTTCAAAGTGCATTCACATTCATTACCTTATTCATCCTCAGAATAAGGTAATAACCCTGGGGGGCAGGTGTTATTCTCCCCCCATTTTACAGAAAAGCAAGGGAAGCCTCAGGATTGCTAGCCCAGGTAGCCAATGAATGGTGGAGCCAGAGCTCTGACCCAGGCCTCCTGACCCAGAGCAGAGCTCTGCCACACCCTCCCTCTGCCTGGCTGACGGGCCTACCTGCTGTGTCTTTCTTCCCACCTGCCTGTCCAGAGCCTGGCCAGCCGGCTCAAGGAAAACATGGAGAAGCTGACCGAGGAGCGGGATCAGCGCATTGCAGCCGAGAACCGGGAGAAGGAGCAGAACAAGCGGCTACAGAGGCAGCTCCGGGACACCAAGGAGGAGATGGGCGAGCTTGCGAGGAAGGAGGCTGAGGCGAGCCGCAAGAAGCATGAACTGGTAATGCCCCCTGTCCCCCACGGGCCCCATGTGGCAGCCCACTGAGTAGCTGCTGAGTGTATGTCTCGCTTTGGCCTGGTTGGGGATAGGCTGCAAAGAATTCAGATGAGTCAGAGAATGGGAGGGAGGAGGAGGATATCAAGAGGGTAGACCAGGGAGCCAGTGGCACTGGAGGCTCCCTCAGGCCCCCACAGCCCAGCAGCACCAGAGCGGAAAAGGCTCTGGAAGCCTGTGTCAGCCCTCAGGTAGCGCCCCCATGGCTGGGAGGGACTCAAAGCAGGCTTCTTCTGGGCATCTGGAGGAGAGGCTAGCCCTCCTGCAAACTGGGCTGCCCCCTCCCTCCTAGGAAATGGATCTGGAAAGCTTGGAGGCTGCTAACCAGAGCCTCCAGGCCGACCTAAAGCTGGCATTCAAGCGCATCGGGGACCTGCAGGCCGCCATTGAGGACGAGATGGAGAGTGATGAGAATGAGGACCTCATCAACAGGTGAGGGGTGGCCTCTGGGGCATCTGCAGCCAGAACAGAGGCCCTCTTGACCGCCTCTGGAACCAGGCCACCAGGTAGAACAGTTGCAACCTCTGCCTCCCCATGACCGAGCCACCAACCCACCCTCCCTTTACTGCCAGACCCCAGCACAGCCTGTCCTGCAGGGCCAGAGGGTGAGACAGGTACACTCTGAGTGGGGCCCCCCACCCAATCGCCCCTCCCTGGGACCAGGCCCTCCTGCTCTGCCCGCTCAAGATGAGTTATTCCCCCGTTTAGCTGCATTTCCGATGGCGTCTGCCCCACTCTGGGGAGAGCAGAGATTTAAAGGCTGTGATGCCTTGTTACTATGCCAGAGATTTTCTCATAAAACCCACCCAGGGAATGGTTTGGAGAGAAAGAGAGATTTGTAGTCTTAGGTGGATGAGAAAGTCACAAGGAAGGAAGGCCGGCAGTGCGGGGTGGTGCCAGCCTTGGAGAAGCTCCCAAGGTTTCACTAGGCACACCCTAGACCTGCACCCTTCCCACCTCAGGGCTGGGGCCCCTCCTGCAGGCAAGTCCGGGGCAGCACAGAGAGCCTGCTGCATTGGGGCAGAGAAGAGATGCCAGGGACAGCCCAGATCAGGTTCTGAGGACAGCACTATCACGCATCCCCCTACCTGGTCTCAGCCAACCAGAGCTGGCTCTTGCCGAGGGAAGAGAGGTCCTCAGCTAAGGAGTCCACCTTGAGTTGCCCATTCATTTCGTCTGTTTCCTCTGGACCCCTTGCCCACCCTTGTCTCTCTATTTCCAGTTTGCAGGATATGGTGACAAAGTATCAGAAAAGAAAGAATAAACTGTGAGGACTGGAGCGCATGTGCTCTCTGCCTGTCCTCGAGGGTGTCTAACCACCCCTAACACTGGCTCATACCCTGGGGCCGCTGCACGCCGCATGTGGACACAGCCTCCCCACACTCACGCCTCGCTGGTCTCTAACACTAACACTCTGACTCTGTCCTCGGGGGAGGCTGGGAGTGGGCAATGAGGTGCGCTCCCTGGAAGGCTGGGGCTGGCCTGGGCACCCTTGGTAGGCAGGATGGGGGGCTCCTGCAGAAAGGAAGGCACAGCCTATTTGAGAAGTCTACCTTCCTGAGCTCCTGCACGTTCCTCCCTCAAAAACCAAGTGTGGCCATCTCCCTGGCCTATTTGTCTGGGAGAAAGTCTGTTTGGGCTGGATCTGTCCACATCCTTGGGCTCCTTGGGAGCCTGAGCTGCCTGAAAGAAGCGGGTATGTTTCATCTTTAAAGGTTCGGCACCTTCTCTTGGCAGACAAGGGTGGAAGGTGAGGGGCATCTCCCAGTTTCTTGTTTGGAGAAAGCATTCAGGCAGCTAATCATGGGCTGCTCTGCTGTGGCGAGGGAAGGGAACACAGCCAGATGTGTTTACTTTACTCCCTGCGGCACCGTGGGCAGAGGGAGGCCCTGGCAGCGTGTGTGCTGGTGCTGTCTGTCAGGTGGCGGGAAGCCCAGGAAATCCACCCCTCTCTTTTCCCTCTTTCTGGGTGGGAACTAGACAGCAAATGCAGATGCGCAGGCCTTCAGGCAGAGCGGGCTGATCCTCCATCAAGTTCGACAGGGTTGTTTTTTGGAGGCTGTTTTTCTAGCGTGGCATTGGGTTTCTTCCCCCACTCTCTCTTGCCTGGTGGGCCCCCTCCCTGGCCAAGATGGGCTGGTGGCAGCACACAGGACTCGGTGAGAGCTAATGATAAATGTAATAGTGTGTAACAGTGATAGAGGGCCGCTGGAGCCTGGTTGTCACACACAATTAATATCCCCCGCCGTTCTGTCTCCGTTTGTTTGTTCCCCCACGATTCAGCTCCCAGTTAACTAATAGCACATGAGCCCGGACATAAATTGTATTTGACGCAAGGTTTAATTCCGACCATTTAAAATTTCAACTGCCCCCTGAGCCTGCCTGCCCCTGGAGTTTGTTTATGGGCCTGATTATTTAAGGAAAAGAACATCTTCTAGATGCTTGCAACTAAAAGGAAGGCAAGGGCAGGTAGGCCAGCTTTGCAACCCATCCACTACTCTGAATGTAAGGAGGAGAATTCGTATTCTGGGCCCACAACTGTTCGTCCCCTGTGTGTTTCAACCCTGCCATCCTTGGGCGGTAAGAGCTTCAAGGGGCTGATAAAATGCGCATTTAAGATCATATTCTAAACTACTGCCAGGCACGCACACACACAGGCACACCACGCATGCACACACATGCACACCGGTGTGCGCTCACATAGACGCATGGGGACGTGCAGCACTAACCAGGTTCCCGCTGATGGCAGAGAGGTGGTGTGGCTCCTTCCTCAACAGCTCTGGGCCCCAGCTCCAAGTTATTGAGCCCAGCGCACTAAGGCGGGCAGAAAAATAATGTTTCGATTTACTTAGAGATACAGTTGTTATTGCCATAACCTTAATGAAAGCAGTAAACAGCACAGTATTAAGGGAGATTTATACAGAAACGCTTTTAACATGTAGACATAGATTTTGCGATGCATACAGCACCTCCTTTCTAAAAGCAATCAATATGGTTATGAACGGCATGATAAATTATAGGCTCTGAAGCTAGAGAGGGAGGTTTTTTGCACGGGTGTATAAATCAGGTGGTACTGGTGTTCCATGGGGCCCATGCACCACAGTAAATCTGCCAGGCTCGGACAGGCACAGGGCTTGCATTAGCAGTTTTGAGGCTGTCTGCTAAACTCCTGTTTACCTGGGGCATCAGCCAGCCTCGTCTTTGTTATAATTCTGTATTTGACGGAAGCCCATAAAATATGCCTCTTTATTCCCCTCCCCATGAGTTGGGCTTTCTCCTGGTCCCCAGAACAATCTGGTGGTTTTGTGTGTCCCTGTGTGTGTGTGTGTGCACGTGCCTGTGTGGCTATTTAACAACATAATTCAGGAATGGAGCCATTCCTGTTGACACAGAGGAAAGGAAATTTATATCAAGGAGAAACCCTAGCCTATCCGTAGCAGGGGAACTTGGTGAGCAGACATTCTGCAGAATTTTAGAAGCAATCTTACCCAGAAGCTGTCTCCAAGCCCAGCTGCTTCATGAGGAGGGTGACCATGACTTCAGCCTCAAAATTTGGCTCCTTTGGGCTTTCCTGTAAGTGCTAAGGTCAGCTCTGCCAGATGAAGCACTTTTGAGCAAGGGCTGGGGGCTACCTGACAAGGCAAGAGGAGACCTTGAGCGACAGGGCTCTGGGCTGGGACTTTCTGAGCCCAGCTGGGTCTCCAGGGACAATTTAGATGCTGAAACTATTGCTAGTCCCTCTGGAAATGCCGATGCCTCTCCTTTTGCTTTCCCTGTTTCTTAAGAGCCAGAGAAGCCACAGGGTGGATCTGGGATATGGCCTGGGCCTCCTTAATCTAGAGCCCGGGTTGGTGCTGCCATCTGCTAAGGAGACCTCCAGCTTCAAGCTAACTCCAAATCCTATGAAACTCTTGCCTTCTGCTCTGTGGCCGACAGCCCAGCTCTTGTAACAAAGGCATGGAAAATGACAGCAGCTATAGCCACAATTTGAGGAGTGGAAGACAAGAAACAGCAGAGTAGTCCTCAAGGAGTCACCAAAGGACCCAGGGCTCCTCTTCTTAGCTCAGAGCCATTTAGGTGTAATTGATGAGTGGATGGTCTTTCGGTAATTCTCCTTGGGTTGGTCAGCTGAACAGGGGCCTGTCACAGATAACTGGCATGGGAGCTGCCTCCATGCTCCTCAGGTTCTTCTTGGTGGCTGTCACAGTGTGGCTGCTGAGTGGCGACAGGCTCCTTGTGAATGGTGTGCTCTAATCTCTCTCATTTCATTCTCCCCCCAACTCACGCGCATGCCGCCCACAACCCCCCGCCCATGACACCCCCTGTACCCCTTTCTGCTCTCTGCCTGGGCAGCAGGTACCCATCCCTTTCCTGGCCTTGCCTACCTTTCTGTTCCTTATCCCTACAGTGAGGGAGACTCAGATGTGGATTCGGAGCTGGAGGACCGGGTTGACGGGGTCAAGTCCTGGTTGTCAAAAAACAAGGGACCTTCCAAGGCAGCTTCTGATGATGGCAGCTTGAAGAGTTCCAGGTGAGCATGTGGTCTTGAGCTGGGAGGAAAAGCCATCTCATGCCACCAGGAATGGACGAGCAGCGCCTGGATCCCATGAGGGCAGGCCTGCGTCTCTTGCCTGGCGTCTGTGAAAACAGCCCAGGTGTGCTTCTGGCATGTGCATGAGCACAGGAAGAGGCTTAGTTTCTTCTTATCCAGGGCTGCAGCTCCCTTATTTTTCTCAGGTAATGTTTTCCCATTAGGCTCCAGGCCTTGGTTTGGTGTAGGTTTAATGTCACCTCCACTTATTCAACAAATGTTGATCAAACTTCCTAATAGTTCAGACTCCTGGAATCAAGACTGGGATGGAGCACAGGACACTCTTGATCCCACAGCTCTGGCCAGCTCTGGATCTCTGACATCTTACCATGAAAAGCAGCAGAAGAGGCACCAGTTCCACTGATTCTTGTCCCAGCTACAGGCACATTTGTCTTTCTCTGCCCGTTCCCTCCTTCCTCTAATCTCTTCACTGCCCCCATGTCTTTCTACCTAATAGCCACCAGGGGAACAGGCTCCCTGTTTTCTAGCCAGTCATAGTCCTCTGATCACATAGACAGACACCCCTGGAATCCAGAGCTTCCCCTTCCCTATCCCTTTCCTACGGACCAGTGTGGCAGTAGGGAGAAAGAACAGCCCTCAGCCCCCTCCCCTCCTAAAGCCACATCCCTACTCCCCTCCCACAACGTAGAATCCTCCCAACAACCCAAGCCCATCCTGATCCTCCAGGGCACACCTCTCCCCATCCCCTCCCAGAGACAGCAGGTAGACTGGGTACAAAAAGTAACGTCCCTCCCTCCCTTCTCCAGCTCCCCTGAGGCCCCTTCCCCAAGCCTGGCCCCTCATCAGAAGCACACAGCAGCCCCCTCTAATTGGTTTAATTTATTCGGCCAAACAACATTTTGTTATTGCAGATAATGCCGGCTTCCCCGCCCCAATGCCGTGGTTCACCACGGCGTGGCACGAGGCTCCAGGTAGTTGACAATGAAATAAATTGAACTAAACGTTTAGAGGGGGAAAAGTGATGAAATAGAACAATAGTCTAATTTACATGACATTCTCCATGAAGCTATTTTCACTGACGCAAATTATTTTGCTTCATTTCCTCCGACACTCTCACCACCACTTTGCCAGGGCTGCCGTTTTCTCCTCCTTTAGCCTCCCTCCCCCTGTGTCTTTATTCTCTGGGTTTAATGCTTGTTCCTCTCTCTCTCTCTCAACCTCCCTCCCTCCCTGCTGCCATCATCCATGGCTGCTTCTCACATCCTCCCTGGAACGGCCCTCTGCAGCCTCTCTAAGGAGGCCCCAGGGGTGGAGGAGAGGCCGGCCTCGGTGGTGAGCTCCCTGAGCTATCGGAAGCGGCTCACCCTGAAGGACTCCATCGGGGGCACCGGGGATGCAGATTCACTCTTCACCTCCCTGAGCGAGCGGGCTGCCTCCCCCGAGAGGCCCCCGCGGAAGGCCCGTGTGGGCCCCAGGGAGGAGCCAGGCCCGGACAGGAAGTCCGAGGAGCCGGAGGAGGAGCGGAGCTCCGTCCTCTCCGGGGCCGGGGGGCGCTCGGGCCGGAAGCGGTGGGGCTCCGACTTCAGCCGGGCCTCCCCGGTCTCTGCACCCGTCAGCCGGGCCTCCTCGGCCACGCGGCGGGGCTCTGGTGAGGACAGGGCCGGCTCCTCCCTGAGCTTCTCGCTGTCGGGCTCGCCCAGTTCCCGCCGCAGCGCCTCCCGGCTCGACAGCCTGTCCCGGACGCTCAGCCCTTCCCTGAGCCGGGCCTCGGGCCTAGGCCGGGAGAGCCCCGATTCCCGCCTGTCCCTGGGCCAGAGCTGCCTGGACGAGTGGGACGACGGCGCCAGCGTGGCCTTGAGTGAGACCTGCTCGCAGTACAGCCACCCGTCGCTGGCCCGCAGTCTGTCGGTGCCACCGCGGCCACGCAGCTCGGCCTCGGCCATGGACGAGCCTCCCAGCTCCAGCGTCCGCCCCGTCGGCCGTCACTCGTACCTGGACCCAGACCTGGAGGCTGCCATCAACGAGGTCTTGAGCTACAAGCCTGTTCCATTCCAACGGAGCAGCCTGGAGCCCGACTCTGAGGAGGATGACAGGAAGAGCATCCAGAGTGCCCGGAGCGCCCACCTGGACCCCCCAGAGCGAGCTGCCAGCATCCGCCGCTCCGCCTCCGCTGCTGATGTGTCCCGGTCCCACAGCGGCAGGAAGAGCCGGAGCCCGCGAAGACGCAGGAGCAGAAGGAGCAGCTCCAGCTCCAGCTCCAGCTCCAGCTCCAGCTCCAGCTCTGAAGCTTCCTCGGAGCACAAGAGGCGGAAGAAGGGGCGCTCTCGGAAGAGCAAGAAGTCCAAGTCTAGGAGAAAGAAAACAGAGTCTGAGTCCTCCTCGTCGTCGTCCAGCGGCTCGACCGTGTCCAGCCACAGCCGCTCCAGTGTGAAGAAGGGCCCAACTGCAGAAAGTGAAGAGGCCGGGCGGACGCACCGGCCGTCGAAGAAGGAGGAGAAGAAGCGCAAGAAGGAGGTGGACAGCCTGATGATGCGGTACCTCTACCGGCCTGAGAGCGACTAGTGCAGTAGGTGGCACCCGGCCTGGTTTCAGCATGGCGTGTCCCACCTGGTGTGAACTAACGTGCTCCCTGCCCCTCTGGCGGCCATCTCAGGGCCCACCCGCATTCCTCTCTGGCACACCTGGCTGCCTTGGAGAGCAGGGGCCCGCCAAGCTAGTCAGCCTTCCTGAGCCCAGAGCCCCATCAGTTGATCTCGCTGGTGATGTCATAGCTCCCACTTACAAGTCCTGACCCTGGACCAGGGACAGGGACTGTCCTTAATACCTGCCACATTTTAGTCATTTAGCCCTCACAGTAGCTCCATAACAAAGGTCTCATTAGCCCTGTTTCATAGAAGATGAAGCTGAGGCTTGGAGAGGTTAAGTCACTTGCCGTGTGGTCACGCGCAGCTGACAAGGGTTGTTGCCAGGGTCTGAATGGGGTCTGCCCACCTCCAACCCTCTTGCCTTAACCCACTCCTCCACACCACCAGTGCAGAGCACATGGGTGACATGTTTACTGTGTGAGCCTGGCAGCACCCATTCAGAAGCTTTCGTTCATGGCCCCAACAGGCTGGGCCCAGGAAAGGTCCCAAGCTGATACCCCAGCTGTGGTTGGTGCACATCAGTGACCCTAAGCTATTATGGGGCCTTTTGCTCAGCTCTCCCTCCCCCTACCCCACCCCCGCAAAGCCACCTTCCTCTCTGGCATAGATCTCAAGTCTAGGAGTACAAGGTTCACAGGGCTGCAGCCCACACAGCACCACACCCTACAGCAGACCCAGGAGATGCCTGACTCCCTCCCCAGCCTTCCCACCAAAGGCCCACACATGGGCGTCACCTCAGTTCTCATCTTGTAAAGTTCTAATGAATAGAAATTAGCAGCTGCTGAGTGACAGCCCCCTCCTGGCTCTCCTGCCTCCCCCAGCTCTTCTCCCTGTGGGGAGGGAGATCTAGCAGTTAGACCCTTTATGCCCACACCCCCACCGTGGAAGAAGGGCAGAGCCTGACTCATTGGAATCCCATTGTTGCCAGTTTCCCTGGTGGGTGGTGACATTTTAGATCACCCTGCTTATGTGAAGCTGTTTTCGGCATGGTGCCTTTCCAGGGCAAGCTTGCTGCTTCCCAGGAGGTATGACCCCCGAGTGCAGCCTCCTGGGGCACGGGCATTTGTTTCCCAGATGCATGAACTAACACACCTGTCTCGTGCTTGTGCAGTGGAGCAGCTGGACACCCAGGCTGACTTTGAATGGATTATACCAAAAGGGACTTATTTAAGACCTTTTAAGGAATGGAGCAAGTGAAATAGCTCAGCCCTGCTCTGTCACTTCCCCCATGCAGCAGATGGTTACTGAGTGCTCCAGGAGGAACAGGAAGCATCTCTGTTGTACTAGGGAACCAGTGTTGGCTCCATAGTTAAGACAAGAGTCAGCCGGGCACGGTGGCCCACACCTGTAATCCCAGCACTTTGAGAAGCCGAGGCAGACAGATCACCTGAGGTCAGGAGTTTGAGACCAGCCTGGCCAAGATGATGAAACCCCGTCTCTACTAAAAATACAAAAATTAGCCGAGCGTGGTGGTGTGCGCTTATAGTCCCAGCTACTCAGGAGGCAGAGGCAGGAGAATTGCTTGAACCCGGGAGGCGGAGATTGCAATGAACTGAGATCTCATCACTGCACTCCAGCCTGGGTGACAGAGTGAGACTCCATCTCAAAAAAAAAAAACGTTAAAATATTTGATCAGCCATCTTAGCCTTCCCCTTAGCAGCCCTGTTAAGTGCCCCACACCCCTAGGGCAGGAAGTCAGCTGATGGACCCAGGAGAGATGTTTGGAAAGCAAAGAGGGCCAGGCCTTTCTGCACACTGTGCCTCTACCCCAAGAAGGACATGGGCCTAAAGCTGGGCCATCCCACACTGACTGGCGACTGCAGATTTCAGACCCCAGTGCCCTCAGCCCGCCATCATCCTTGACCCCACAACCAGCAAGAACAAAAAACCAAAGGCCTATTCTTCCACCAGTCACCACCACAGTTCCTCTTTTCCACCAGGAAAGCGGGAGTAGCCCTGACACCTATACACCATCACCTCCAAGAAGGATTGGATTCACTGTTGGTAGAGTGGCACCAAGCCAGAACCTAGCCAAGCAACACTGAGCCAGAGGGAAAAGGCCTGGGGAAGGAGGACCTCGGTGGCACTCAGCATCAACTGGGCTTGGGGTGGGGGCATGGGACGGAGCAGTCGCTTAGCTTCCTATCTGGTAATGAGGACCAGCGAGAATTTGCAGCAGGAATGCAGCTTCCATAATGAAGTCAAGGGGAGGGAAGCTGCTTCCCTGGGCTTGCCTGGCGGGAATTACCTTATATACCAAATTGTTTGTGACAGCGCTGAGCAGGAGACACTGGCTTGTGGGGAGGAAGGCTTTTTTAAACAATTTGGTTAAAATGTTCAAATTGCCTGCCCTGACTCTTGCCCTGGAGAGGAGGGCAGCTGCCTGCTGTTGGCTCCCTGATGGCTGGAGCAGTGGACGCCACTAAGGAGACTGGCTAAAGATCACCCAAGCTAGAGGCAAGAGCAATCTCATGGGTCCACTGCCCAAGGCAGAGAGAGAGAGAGTTTACCACCTCCCTGGAAGCCTCTGCCACTGCCCAGCATCTTGACGAAACAGTGTGGAAACCTGGCTATCATTTATCCAGGTGTCTGCCTGGCAGGCACAGGAATGTGGGTGTGGGGCCTGGAGCCCCCACTTTGAAAAGAGGTGAGGCAGTGGAAAGGAGTAGAGGGCCCCAATTCAGCAGTTCACAGCACCCCGGAGCTCGCCAGCAGTGCCTCATTTGCATCTGGATTCCAGCCCTGGAATCTGCCTTGTCCCCCTCTGCCCACAAAATAACCCCACTGTCTTTCCACAAAGTGAGATGCTCCTTAGCCTAACAGCAGACCCTAGCCCTGAGTGCCCAGAAATTGTATATAAAAAATGAGAACCAAAACAGGCTCCCACTAATTTAGAATTCAAACAACCCCAAAGCTAAAATAACCCCAATTTTTTTCTGTGTTGCACAGTCATCAGTAAGCTTTATAATTTTGTCCTAGAAACCACCCCCCACCCCCAGAGTCTTTAAGTGCCTTTGGACTATCAAAGTGAGACTCATTTATGTTCAGTCTAGTTTGTATTAAATGTGTTTTGTGCTATCCTGATTCCTTTAAAAATGGTAATTCATTCATGAGAAATACGATAACTATTAACCAGACTGCCCCATTCCTGAACCATTTTGCATAATTGAGCATGTATTCTATCAGCCTCTTCCTTTCCCCCAGGGATAGATAGAGAAGTATCTTTACATAACCCCTGGGCACTCGCCCAAGCCAGCAAAATTCAGGTTTGGTCTTGTTTTTTTTTTTTTTTTTTTTTTTTTTCCCTCTCAGGTCATCCCATCTAGTGGCAGGGTGAAATTGTCCAAAGTCTTTGAGGTCTGAGAGTCCCAAATTCAAGTTTACATACTGGCTGTGTGGCCTTGGGCAAGATCCTTTCATCTCTTTGGACTGGCTTCCTCATAATATTTCATAGGGTTATTGTGAAAAGTAAGAGAGTCTGTCTCGGGTGCCTAGGCCACGTTTTACGCACAGGAGTTCTCAGTGACCACATCTTGCCCGCTGCATCTCTCACTCCACCTTGGGAAAAGCTGAGAAGGTGGTCCTTTCTGCAGAACCTTGACTCCTCCTCTTTTGGTTTGGGGATAGAACTTTAAACGGGCTAGTAAACAAAGGGCCCTTTTCAGCTTCTTAAGTCAGAATTGTAGGCAGCGGGAACATGGAACTGCTGTTTGCCGAAGTTGGAACTGTCTAGGATCTGGAGGCAGGGCTGCAGCTTGACAGACCCGGCTGAGTGTGGGGCACCAGTAGGAGAGGAGCCACAGTGGGCTGTGTTTTCTGCAGTTGTTTTGAAGCGAGAGTGCACTTGAACTGACAGAGGCAGTGGAGGCAAGAGGAGTAGAGGAAGGTGGCCCTAAGGCTTTGGGAGAAAGAAAAGGGAAGGTGGATGGAGCTGCGAGATGAGGTCCCCTCTTCCCTGTTCAATGCCGTGATCCTGCTCCATCCAGGGGGAAAAGACCTTTTCATATCCAGGATAGCTAGAGGCCTCCAGAGCCAGCAGCCCGATGAAGACTCTGAGTTATGTTCTTGTACTAAGAAAGGGGCTTTTCCCCTTGGGCCACCCTAAAACAAGTCTTCCCATCCTCTCCCTCCTGAGCCTCCATTTCTTGTGAGTAGATGATGCCATGGTAAAGGGTAAAAATTCTCACAGGCCTCAGAGGGCTGTCATTAGAGAAAAGTGTTCAGATCTGGGAGTGTTTGATGGGGAAAGCGCCTCCTTCTCAGAAGGAATCTTTTTAGGAATCGGTTGCCTAAGAGAACTTCTACCCTAGACAGGTTGTAATCACCAGACCTCTAGTCACCAGGCTAATGTGGTTCATGGACTGCTTGCTTCAGAGCCTTCTGGAGAAGGACTGAAAATGCAGAATTCCTGGGTTGTACCCAACAGCCAGCAATTCAAGTTTTCTAAGAGGAAGGGCCCAGGAGCTGGCATCAGATTCTTATGCCCGCTCGAGTCTGAGTCCCACTGCTCTCAGCATCCCTTTTTTTGGAGCTTTAAAAGCTTCCAGAGTCTCCTTCCTCTCACCACTTTGAGTATCTTCCAAGTAAGCCAAGGAAGGTTTCTACCTAACAATGTTTGGCTTTTGGGGAGTGCCCTGATGCGGCTTTGTGGGCCTCTAGAACCAAAGGCATGGGTGCTTAAAGGTAGGAGTGTCATTTGTCCCTAACCTTATTCCTCTGTCCCTGCAGCCCCACCAGCTACTGGAAGTCCCTTGCCCCTGACCGGTCAGATGATGAGCACGACCCTCTCGACAACACCTCCAGACCCCGATACTCCCACGGCAATCTGAGTGACAGCGACACAGAAGCCAAGCTGACAGAGACCAATGCATAGCCCAGGGGAGTGGTTTGCAGCCCTCTCACCCTATGGCCTGCGGCTGCCTGGGCACCTCTCCCAGGAAGTGGTGGAGCACCCATCTCCCCCACCCGACTGCTGCTCTGCATGGGAAACACCCTGACCTCCTTCTGTCGGGGGAACTTTCCAGGCTATGGGTGTCTGATGTCTCCACATGGAAGAGGTGGGGGAAAGAGGAGTTTCTGAAAAGAGAACTTTTTGCTCCTCCCTGCCTCGAAATGCCACACTCTTGGCTTCTACCCTGGGCCACCGTGGGCAGTGGCAGGTGGCCTGGCACTGCATGAAGCCAGCACGTTGACCTCCCTCTCAGCCCCCTGCTCAGGGACGGTGGACAGGTTGCCTACTGGGACACTCTAGGTTGCTGGGTCCATGGGGAGGATTGGGGGAGGAGCAGCGATGCCTTCCCTCTGGTGTGGGGTGGGGGCTCTCTCTTCTCGGTGCCTGCTGTCTTTCTACTTTTTAATTTAAATACCCAACCTCTCCATCGCAGCTGCATCCCTCAGAGTGGGAGGGGGCTACAGTGGTGGCTGGGGCCCCCAGAAATGACCCGGAAATCTTGTCTCATCTCCATCTTCACTCTTCAGAGAGTTCTTTCTCTGTGCAGCTGGAGACACTGGTGAGCAGAGCCAGGTCCAGGTTCTTAAGAATGAGGTGGGAGGGGCTCTCCGGTGCTTCTGGGCTGGGTTGAGCAAGCCTATGCAGACAAGGGTGCGTGGGGACCATCCACACCTTCAGCCCCCACCCCACCCTCTTTGTCTCAGCGTGTTACGTGCAATGACCTATTTAAGATAAACCCATTCCAACTACACCAGTTCAGGGCTAATCCAAGCACTGCCTCCCTCCTTTTCTGTCCAGGTTGCCTGGACCATAAACTCAGCTCGAGAGGGAAGGCTTGAGATTGAGGGCTTTGTGATCAGAAAAACTGAAGATGGAAGTTTTGGCCAGTGCTCATTAGACACGGGTCCTCACCCTGTGTCCTGAGCCCGTGTCATTCTTCTTCCAACTCCTGCCCCCAGACACTTATCCCAGACACAACACCATGTGGTCTGGAGGACCCAGCCCCCACCCTAAAAGGTTATCCTGAGAACTCCACCAGACTTGGGAGCCCAAGGGCAGTGCCTGGTGCTGCTCCCATCTGCCACCCCCCTTCTCTCCTGCAATTGGTTTGTAGTCATTGGGCTGTGCTCTTCCCTGTTTACCCGATGTATGGAAATAAAGGCCCTTTTCCTCCTGGCTGCACCAGTTTTCCTACCTGTTTCTTCAGGCTCAGGTAAAGTGCAGATTGGTTGTGGCAGGATGGGCAGAGGCAGGATTCTGATGGGGACCATGGGGACATCACCCTGATCTCTGGCCTGCTCCCCAAAGTGTCAGACCAATGCCTCTTGGCCTGGGCAGTGCATTTTGGGGCAGGCAGAGGTAGTGGGATGAGGGGATTGGCCAAGGAAGACACAGGCCCCTCCTTTTATGTGAAGAGCCTGGGGACTGTGATTCAGGTTAGCAGAACCCTTCAAGCCTCATCCTCCCTGGCCTCCACAAGGGAATGTTGAGGTCTCTCTGATTATTAAATCTCACCAGTTACAGAGATTCTATCATCTCTCCCTCTTTTTCATTTTTTTTAAAGGATTCAAGCCCCTCTCATTAGAACATTTTTTAAAAGTTTAATTTTAGTCATTTCAAAGGTGACTTTTTGATAAAAATTCGCAGAACTAGCTCTGGCCCACAGGGCAACCTGAAAAAGTTGGTAGTGCTGTCTCTGTGCCCCGCTTGTCTGTCTGCATGCCCTACTCCATGCTTTGTTCCTTCATTGACAGCAAAGAGGCAGCTCATGCAGAAGGGCAAGAAACAAATGACCCCCCTCCTTCTCTTCTACCTTCTGTAATGTGGCCAGTTATAATCCCTGAACGAATAAAGTAGTTTGGGCAGATTGGTGGGAAAAGATGTCAAACAGCCCAAGTGCTGAGGCTCTGGTAATGTCAGCCACCCAGAAAGAGTCAGAAAGGGAAGGAGGGAGAAAAGTCTCCCAAAATGAGTGGAACAGAGTGAGAAGTAGATTCGTCTTGAATGAAGTAGACTGCCCCCTCCACTGCTCCACGATAGAATAGAGAAGAGGATAGAGGAGACGGTAGTAAAAGTGAAGTTACTGTTTTTCTTTTGGTGACAGAATCTTGCTATGTCACCCAAGCTGGAGTGCAGTGGTGCAATCCCAGCTCACTGCAACCTCCACCTCCTGGGGTTCAAGCGATTCTCCTGCCTCAGCCCCCAAGTAGCTGGGACTTGCAGATGTGTACCACCACACCCAGCTCATTTTTGTATTTTTAATAGAGAAGGGATTTCATCATGTTGGCCAGACTGGTCTCAAACTGTGACCTCAAGTGATCTGCCTACCTCGCCTCCCAAAGTGCTAGAATTACAGGCATGAGCCACTGTGCCCGGCCTAAGTTACTTTGGGAAAAAAAAAAGGACTGCTAGCTTGTGTTCAGTTCTATCACTCTCATCTTTTATTTCTGTTTTCACATAGTGCAGTACATTTTCTGTTTCTCCCGGGAACTAGTGTGACAAACCTCCCTGCCACCTTTAGATGAATTCCCGAATCTGTTCACTCATACTGAGTCAGGCCTCTGTTTAACTGGAAACTCCAACATCAACCTCCAATAACCCCACCTGGGATAAAAAGCTTTGTTCAAGTCAGAAAACATACTCACTTGCCTAACAGTTGAGAAATAGTTCATGACTGCCTGCTGTGCCTAGGCCCCATTCTGGGTGCTGGTGAGGGATAAGGTCTCTTCCTTCATAAAGTGGAGGGAGGTAGACACAAAATAGGTACTGCACTTCTTAGTATGTGCAAGCTCGGAGTGGGTGGGTAGAGAGGAACATATCATAGTATCCATCCTCCAGGGGCTTGTGGACGAGGGCTGGAGCAGATCCATGTGGAAATAATTACGTAAGACATAAGGACGAAGAAGTTGCTTTGGACATATTATGGAGGGAGATACTCTCTTTGGCATGGAGGATTGGGAAAGCCTCTAAAAGGAGCTGGTATTTTGACCGGGGCTTGAAAATAGCACTTCCACAGGTAGAATTGCTGGGAAAGGCATACTGAGGAGAAGAGCTTAAACAAAGGTCCTGGGGCAGGGAAAGATAGGTGATGGAAGAACATGCCACAGGCTGGCTATGCACTGCCACATGACCAGTGCTTCTCCAAGTTTCAGCACAGCCCCTTGGCCAAGGTGGTGGGCTCCAGGCTGAGAAGGAGACAATTCCCTTGGCACCAGTTCCCCAGAGGAGTCCAGGAGACTTTAGGGCCACCAAAGCCCATCTTCATTTTGGGTGTACCTTGAAAGCTGTGCTGTTGGCCTTACCTGTACGCTCATGGTACCTCTGATCCTTAAGATGCTGCGGAAGGCAGATCTGGCTCTTTGCCAGACTCAAAGCCCGCCTGCTAGATCCCCTCTATAATTGCAGATCCCCAGGATTGCTCTGACTCCTGAATAAGAGGCACGGGTGGGAACCAGCACCCTGTGGGACTCCCCATGGTGCCCAGTCTGTGCCCAGAAATGGCAGTGGCAGGCAGTGACCCCTAAATGGTCTTTTTTTGTCCTTGTGTCTCCTTGGCAGATTATCCCAGTTGTCCTTCCCCCATCCTCCGCCCCCGTGCCTGGTGGCACAGACACTTAGTGATTTGCTCCTTAATTGTCCCCCAGCTAGGCTGCGCAGATGCCGCTCTTTAATCTCTCCTGATAAATGAATCGCGCCGCTCCTTTAATCATATGTTCATATCCAAGCCAATTTGAATCAATTTGGCAGGGAGCGTGTTGCAAGAGATGCCATGACTGCTGTTTCTCCCCCAGGGCCCTGGAGCCAGAGCGGCTGCTATCCTCAACCTCAGCAAAGAGTGCAGGAGGCCCATCCAGAGAAAGGATCTCCTACCTGAATAGTGGGGACTTTTAAAAGTCATTTAATTCATTCCTGACCTCCAAGCAGGCCATGTGGGACTGGAGGGAGATGGATTCCCAAAGGCCTCAGAAGTGGAAGGGAGGGGGATGAGTCCCTAGCCTGCGTTGGTCATTGAATAAAGGGCCCAATTTTCATCCCTGGGAGAAAGTACTGCCTTAAATCTAACCCTAATCCTTTCTGTTCCCTGTTCATTTCCACTGCACCGATTCTCTGGGAAGCTGGAACACTTCATCACCTTTTATATAGCAACACATTCCAGACAAGTCTATGATAATTTGTCCTTGCCTGCTTCGGCTACTGGCAGCCACCCGACTCCTTTCATCTTCCCCTAGGACATATTTTCTAAAACCTCCAGCCTGGTGGGCAGTCCGGGACACACTTGATAATGTACCAAGCTCTGCTGCCTTTGTGGCTGCTGCCTTTTCACCTCCAGAGTGGTGCCCACGTGCAGCAGTGAAAACAAAGCAAAAATAGACAAAACCTGCCAAACTGAGCTCTTCTTCTGCCTCTAGCACTGCAATCTTGGAGAAGGGGCTTAACCTGTCAGGCCTCGGTTTCTCCATCTGTGAAACAAGGTAGTACTGCTGGCAAGAACCTTCTGGCGTCTAAATTCAGAGCTCCTTACCACAGCCAAAAGAATCTCCCACGCCCTTCCCCTTCATCCCCTCTAGTGAGGAACTGGAGGGATTGACGGTGGTGCTACAGGAGCTTCGAGATCCCGGTGCTGTGGGAGAAACGTCGTGCATGGTCTATTGGGAGTTAGTTTCCCTTCAGCCACTGGGTTGAACCGCATCCTCTCATTTCCTCTCCTTCCCTAGCCTGCTCTGCTTTGCCATTCACTGGGAAAGCGAAAGTTCATTAGCATATTCATATCTCATTTGCATGTCCACTGTTCTTCGGCCTTCTGGTCCCGCCTCCGCGTGGAGGTTCTTTATTCAATAACAAGAAGCCACGCCTCTTAAAAGGGCAATGGGTTTTCTAGTCGCTGACAGGCAAGCTCATCTGGGTTGCCCTTTTTTTATTTTTGTTTTTAAAACGGAGTTTCGCGCTTGTTAGCCTAGCTGGAGTACAAAGGCGCGATCTCCGCTCACTGCAACCTCCGCATCCCAGGTACAAGCGATTCAACTGTCCCAGCCTCCCAAGTAGCTCGGATTATAGGCATGCGCCACCACGCCCGGCTAATTTTTTTGTATTTAGTAAAGACAGGGTTTCACCATGTTAGGCTGGGCGCGAACTCTGACCTCAGGTGATCCAACTGCCTCAGCCTCCCAAAGTGTTGGGATTACAGGCGTGCGTCAACCGCGCCCGGCCAGGAGCTGCGTTGCCCTTTTAAGGATTACAGCGGCATAAGGACCCGTCTACTCTTCCAGCAACCCGGAAATACTGTTTCCCGCCCTTTTAAGCGCACTTGGAAGTCTTTGCTCTGAGCTGAGGCCAAGAGCCAGTGACTGGGACTGAGGGACCCCTTCCTATCCTGTCATTAGTGACACGTGCAGTGATGAGGAGGGCGATAAGACCAACAATAGTTCCCATTTGTTGAGAACTTAATATGATGGCCCCAGTGCTTATGCACTTTGCCTACAACTCATTTCACCTCCATCACAACTCTGTGAAGACCTGGAAAGAAAACCAAGGCTGAGGGGTGATGTCATCTTTCTAAGCAGAGTCCTCAACTTGCTTCCAGCAGCTGGCCAGGCGTCTCCTAACAATTCTGGCCTTGGCAAAGGATGCAGTGAGAGGCAAGAAAGCAAAGAACTGCTGCCATGGTCAAATTGTGTGCACTTGGCATTCGTCAAGGCCTGGCCTCAGAAAGGAAATGCTTCTTGGCAATTTGGGGGGAAAATATCTGCTTCACATTTGCGTCCCTCTTCACAATTTTCAGAGCATCCCTCATACATTATCACATTTTCACTTCACTCCCACTGTGCCAGCAATATGAATAACAGTTCCACATCGCTCAGAATGCATATTTTAAGCTATATTCACTTCAGTCTAATTTCATTACAGTACAACAACAATCCAGATCATTCCCTGCTATTTGATCTGGGAGGAAAGATTTGCACAGCAATAGCCATTTTGGAGTTAACAAGGATGTTGCATGTGTTTAGAAGGAATCGTACAGAGAAATTGAATCTTCCGTAGCGTGCGACCCAGTGATGGGTCATATACATAAGAGAGATTCCAAAAAGAGTGTGTGATTTGCGATTGAAGTCAGTGACATAAATCCCCCAGTGGAATACTTATATGTGCAGACAGAATTTGCTGTAGATATCAAAAGTCAGCTATGATGGTTTTACAAAAAAAGAAAATCCAAAAAGGATATTACGTTTTGACACTATCCAGGCAAATTACATTTGAAGTGGCTTTGGCTTAAGAGTCAAAGAGTTTCCACATTTTAATAAATTTTTATATGTTTTGTGCCATATCTATGATCTGACTAGATTAGGAAAAGAAGCAAATGGATTTGGGAAAGAGAGGACACCAGGGAATTTGAAAATGGAAATTCTTTTTTTTTTTTTATTTTTAAGAAAAGGAGTTTAAAAGATCTCTGTATGGGGAAGATATAGTCAATAGATTCAGAAACATTAGGACGTTGAAAGACAGGTGAGTGACAGGTAGCCAGGCAAATATAAAATAGTATGTGATGAAAGAGGTTTCAAGGCTCATCTTAACCTTGGGGGCTGGCATCAGTTGCAGGTTGGCACCCTTGCTTGAGGGCGGCTGGGGGTCTACTGTCCAAGGGAGAGCGACCCTAGTGAGTGCATTCCCTGGAAGTTTCTGCCTTGGAAGCACAGGTCTCATGGAACCCTTTGTGGGTTCTGGAGCACATCTGTGGGTTCCGGAGCACATCTGTTTCTGGTAGACACATTCTCAGCCACTGGGCAGGATTTAATAGTAGAAAGGAGCGTCTGCTACCAGAACTGACAAAATAAGCCGAGAGAACCAACTAGAAAGTGAGGCAATCTTCTAGCTCTGTTAATGGGTTCCTAAGGTTACATATAGACAAGACAAAAGTAGAGGGGAAAACACAGATCAATAAATAAATATTAGAAGGGACCTCGGAAAACTGTAAGTAGTTTTACTTGGGGATGTGGGGTTATAGGTGAAGTAGCTGTCCTTTCAATACCAAGTTTTCATACCATTTTTAAAAGTCAGTACAGATGTGTGTAGCAACACCAAAGAAGGCCCCAATTTGTCATATTAGCGTGACTATAAGAGTCACTTCTTTCCCAGCATTTCATATACAGAACTCATAGCAGGCGGAGCGGTGGGGGCAGGTGGCAAACCGTGTGGCAAAACTGCTTAGAAACTGCTTATATCCCTTGCTCAGGGAAAGCCATTCTTAAAGCAGCAGGCTCTCTTGGCACAGCTGAGCGTGGAAGCTGGAAGAGGAGCAGATTGGAGGGTGGAACATGAACAGGGTATTTAGGGGAGGCGAGCAGGGCGGATGAGACAAGAGCATCTAGAC